AGATTACAGGTAAAATATTTATCAAAACCCCAAATTAATAGAAAAACTTGCTTCTATCAAAGCTTACAGGCAGTCCTTTTCCAGAACTGGCTGTTCTTCTCTCACAGCTTCTCAACCGGCTGAGTGTTTCTTTTAAAAAATAATATCTTATAAAAAGATTCTATAAAGAAACAAGTGTTTCAGAACCCCCCAAATTGTTGTTTTCCCTTACTATTTTCTTTTTTTACTGAAAAAAAACTCTCACAACTTTATCAAATAGGTACTGCATTAGGTAAGCTATAACATCTGTCGTCTGGGAATTTTCTTCATATTCCCAAACATGTGCAATTTCCCACATGTTTCATTGGGTTTCTGAGGCTTTCACTGATAAACTTATTATGAACATATGGTAATCAGCACACAAAAGAAATATTCTGTAATTAAATACATTATAAAGCATTTTAATAAAATAATTTTTTAACTTCGGTATAATACATGTTTGCAAAACTAAGATGGTTTTTAAAAGTGCTAAGTATTAAACAGAAGTTTCTTGAAACCTTTGAGTCCCACAACGCAGATACAGACCGGCTTCCACTGCCCATAAAGTAGGCACACTATGTGTCTGTAGAAAAGACACTGTCACTTGTCAATTAATCCAGCTTCTTTAATTTTTGTGTAGAAGAATTTCTCCAGTATATTGGCACATTTGTAGTATTCACTCTCAGGGGGGTTGTACTCTCTGCAATTTGTAAAGACTCGCTGCAAGTCAGCCATGAATAATTTCTTAGACACGTAGTACCTATTCTTGAGTCGCTCAGTCATTGTTTTGAGATCTGTACAGAAGAAAAACAGATTAACAGCATTTGACTCAAATACTTTTGGTATGCAATATCCCTTTAGACTGCTTAGCTGTTTAACATGAACTGGCAACGCTAGGATGTGGAATTCCTAATTGCCTTCATCTAAGGCACGGTCCTTTTTTTTTAAGCTTCAACAGCAGCTGAGCCCCTCAAACTAAGCATCATTTCACTGTAAGAATGAGTCTGTGGAGTGTATTTATTTCTTTAAAAGATTAAAGCATCATTTTTTGTGTCTCTAAGTTTTCAGCGGGTGTTAGGAGTCCCTAACTCTCCTCTAACTGCTCCAGCGTTGCTGGAGGAGGCCTTAAGAGTTTATAAGCAAAGAATTTGAGCATTACAAAACATGTATGTTAATGTTAACCTCTCACTTCTGTGTGAACACAGCAGAGATGAGACATTTGTCTGTACTACAAGCAGTACTTGCAGCTATGAGAAAAGATTAAATCTGATCCCTGCTCTACATACATTTTAACTACATGTGCAAACTTTATAGTTATGTATCCCTTGTTAAGAGTCATGTGAGAGAGATCTCTCCTTGCTTTCAACATAAAGCATTGTACAACGCTTTTACTTGCAGAACATTCTTTAAAAAATGTTTTCTTTCATACTAAAATCAGTCGTCCAGAAAATACATAAAGCACCTCAGTGCTCTCCACATGGTTGCCTTCCTAGTAACCCTCATGAGGCATTTAAAAGTTTGTCAACATCACAAGTGTTCTAGGCAGGAGTACAGGAATAGAAGTAGTGGGAGGTGTGCTGGATGCCTTGGCTTTTCTCACCTCAGAGGCTGTAACTATTTTTTTTGCAGTGCTTGAGCCAGGCTTCAGCAGCACCTTTGTGAGGCTGTAATAGGAACAGCTGAAATGAAGACAACTTACTGACAACAAGTATTGCAAGGAGAGCAGAGACCAAAGACTTCCAACTTGAGGACTTAAGTCTTAAAAATGAAGATTTTAAAATGTGGTTGCAGTTTTTTTTGGTTTGGTTTAATTTTGAGGAATTTATTTTGCTTGGTTTGGGTTTTTTTTTAAGGGAGTTTTAACTTCGGTAGAATAGAGAAAAACCCTGTCAAACTGAGAAGAGCAGGTTATTTAAGAAAAGTTTGATAGATGCTCTCAAATACCTCTTTCAATGATACATAACTTGCCATTCACTGGTGTTGCTCAGTACTTTGCAAAAGCAAAGGCTCATTCAGTTCCCATTGAGTCGGAAATTCAGGTGCCTACATTTAAACTAGATATCCATAGTCTAATTATAGCACCCAAGTGAGAAAGCTGTTCAGCTCACCCTAAAGCAAACATTGCCTGGCTGGTTAGCTAAGCTGGTCTCTAACTCCAGTGAAAGTTTGGCTCCACCTGTCACTCAGCCATTCAGCAGGTGGGAAAAAACCTCAAAAAAACCCCAAACACCTAAACAGTGTTTCCTGAAAATAAGCAGCTGAAAGAGCACTTAAAACGGGGGGGGGAGGGAGGGAAGTATTTATACGTGAGAACTGACCTTAGTCAATATCAAGAAAACCCTACAGCCATACCTCTCAAGTACTGTACAATTTAGTCTGTATGCAAACATAAAGACAAATGTATATTGTATGTGATAGCATAACAAAAAACAATGATGCTTTTTCTTAATTGAAATCATGTCTGAGCAGGTTTTGTGCAGAATCAGCATGCTGGCAGTGACAGCAGACAGAAACCAGCTGACCATGAATCAAGAAGTGGTTTAGTTGTGCTGGGTTCCTTAGCTGAAAAACACAAGGCAAAAACTAAACCAATGGCACCAGCTTAGTCCTAAAATGAGAGCTGCTGTCTCCACTGTAATACATTTGAACTAGGAAAGGACAGGAAACATTACTATTTACGGTTTGCCAATCCAGGAAGAAAGTTTTTTGTAACCACTGTTCAGATTAAATAGCCATCTAGATCTCTAGATCTAGCTTCTGCTCAGAAAAGGAGACAGAGAAAACTCTACCGTGGGAGGGTGTCAGTATTCTGTTTTTCATTGGTAGAAAATACATTTGTGTCAGAGATACAGGAAACCAGCTGCTGTTTTATAAAGTACACATATATTTGCTATTTGGAAAGAATAAGTTGAATATAAAAAAATCATTAAGATAAGTTAGTAAACACAGAGCAGGAGCAAAGCAACATGAACACACACTTTCATTCTCCAAGAAATTGATTGATAGTAGCCTGCCATGAACTTATATTTCATTCTCTAACATTAAAAGGTACAGAAACTGTAATTAGCAAGATGGGGGTGAGTACCACATAAACAATGAAGGAGTAGCAAGATACAGCTTTAAATCTGCTGCAAAACAAATCAAACTGTCTGTTTAGAACAGCACAGAATCATCACTGAAATTATATGACCCAGCAATCAAAAGAGAAGAAAAATGTTATTAGCAGTTGTGTACTTCCCTTTGCAAGTAATCCTGTATAAACAACAGATGCATGATTTAAAAATAACGATAAATAAGTAGACAAACCACCTTGTGCAACTTTGGCAGATCTAAAATATGAATGTAAAAGTTATCTTACAATCAGTTGCATGAAGCATTTTCCTAAACTTAAATTGAAGCAAACTGTTAAGACTTAAGAAGAAAATCCTGGTACTTCTGAAAAGGTTTTCTCTATGTGATTTAGAAGGCTTAAATCTGTATTTCAAAGCAATTCAAATGCTCAAGTGTTCATGAAAGTCTGCCTTTAACATACCAGCAGGATCTGCAATGACCAGTTACTACACAAAGAACATTACTTATACAACTCACATGAGCTATCTCAGTCCCAAAAGTTTCTAGCTGACTGTGCTGTTTAAAACCTCTCTGGGGCATACTGAGATTTCACATGTATCTTTATATATATAGCTACAAAGGTCACAAAGCAGTCATAAATTTCAAAACACAGCATTGTACTTTTGGCACTTCAGAGCTGAAAGCTATTCAGCTGCAAGTAATATATATCTCAATATAAAACAATCAGATTACATTTTATCTGCTACGTCTCTAGCCATAAAGATATTTAAACTCTATACTTAAAAAATGTTAATGTCATTACCCATGGGAAACCTTATAACTTCATAATATCCAGGAGCTTCAGTTCTCTTCACAGGTTCCATGAAGGGCCAAGCGCTTTGGTGGCTCTTTGGTAAAGAAAAAAGTAAGGTATCTAATATGGAAACTCTATATTGTAAATAATTTTAAAATCTTTACAGAAGGTAAACTAGAACTAGCACTCACCTTCACCTGCTGCAGGATGGTTTTTAATGTGCTGTAGAGTTGATCTGGATCCTTGGGCTCCTTACTTGAAAGAAAATATGAACACAGAAAGATTAGTTTGGATCCCTTCTCTTCATTCCTATGATGTCCATCCTACCTAAAAGCAACTCCAAACAAAACAAGACACAAAAAAAGCAGTTAAGAACTCATCTCATGTGAATTATTTATCTGGTTTTCAGTAGATCAAAGGAAATATCAATTGACATTATTTAAAGATATTTTTCAAAGGAATCTCCAAACTGCTTCATCATTTTACTTTGTGCAGCACTTACCCTCTTTCTTTTCCGCTTGGTTTCCAGCCAGTCTCTCCTGTACACCAATAACATGAGACATTACATGGGAACTACAGTAGGTCAAAACATTAACTGAGTTATTGCAGCTCTAAAAAGATAAGCCATTTCAGCACTGCTGCAGTAAAATGGGTTTGTTTTAATAAAAGCTACTCCTAATAAATGACACAACCATCTAGCCTGCAGCCCCATTCAATTTCCTACATGTCTCTTCCTCCAGACTGCTGGGAAGATTCTAAAATATTCTTACATGAAACACATCCTTTTTCAATAACTCAATACACATTTTACCACAAACTTAGTAAAGATTAACATCAAAGTTATCCAATTTGACTCCCTAGGGACAGAGAATACATTGCAGAAAAGCACAGTTGAGATAAACCCTCCAAAAGATGACACTATTCTGTTTTGTTGTGTAAATCCATGTTTAGTATAAAACTCATTCTTGTACAGGACTGTAGTGCATAACAGTGGTACCAAAGCAAAACTGCTGACTACTCTGTGATACAAATCAAAGAAGAATCACATATAAACAAAATTACAAATATATACATAGAAGTGGATCCACCTGGGATGCCCAGAGGAAATCTCAAAGACAGCAATTGTAATGGAAACAGAACAATCTTTGGAGAAATCAAATCAGCAGACCAAAGCAATTACATTTTAATAAAAAAAAAAAATCCGTGACTACATTAGTATTTCTAGTCTTGGACCTTTCTTGGGCTGTTCTGCTTCTGTTCTACATTAAAAGAGATTGATACATACTAATTCCAGGAATGCTTTCTATGGGAATCTGCCGTACTCCATCTTTGAAACAAGAAAGGCCAGGATAAACTTTTCGTATCTGAGCTTGTTTCCTTTCTATGAGCTTTTTAATGATCTGTAATAAAGCAGCAGAGAAAACACAAAATAATTGCTTTGCTCAAAAGTAACCTGAAGGATTAATGAAAAGCTGTGACAAACAGAAACACTCTCGCTTCCTAGTCTTACGGTCCTTATAGATCCACTGAACATGGTAACAGGGGTGAGCTACCTGGCCAAACATTGACTCTGCAGATGAGTCTACCAAGTCTCTCAGCTGCCTTTTTAGGCACAAATCTGGAAGAACAGGAGTCATTGCTTGCTGTATCTATCACAAGCTGCACAGCTCCTGGGAAGGTGGCAGCAGAGATAGGGTAGGAGATTTCCTGGGAAAGGTTTGGGAACTGTCTCTAACAGCTAGTGCTTCTGAACTGCTTTGCGCAGCTGGTCAGAAATTTCAAGGCACTTATTTCAATGCACATAATATGTTCCTATTCCAAAATTTTCGAGATACCTGTTCATTTCAAAGTCACTATGTAACTGCTGGAACTTCTTAGGTACCAGTCAGAGATACTCTTACTGAAGATTTTCTCTTGAGGAAGTCAGAATGATGCCACTCCTTGGAACTGAAATTCTGCTCTGCTTGTAAATGCCAGGAAAAGCTTTCCCAGTTGTAGGGTACACTCTGTTCTGCTTCGCAATCTCATTACCTCAATTCTAAGTGAGTTGCTGTGGTGCTCTTGATACACACTTAGACGATTACCTAAGCTTTGTGTGTCCTGAATATGTCACTTTCAAAATTACTTACTTTATAACCAGGAGTAAACAAATGTGCAGCCGTTCAGACCATCACAGTTTGAGACATTGGAAATAATGGACATATTGGGCATATTTTTATTCTTGAGGAACTTCACCCCACACAGATAGCATTTTCTCCCAAAGAGGAAAAAAAAAAACCCCAGACTTTCAATAGAGGTTACAAATGTTAAGAGAAACACAGCATACACCACCACCATGGCCATATTCCAGTGTAACATGAAAACACTTTCAAACTCATTTTTAAACACACCTTCAGCTCTTCATATAATTTAGGAACTAGTAGCTCTTTCCACTTAAAACAAGCTGTTCAACACCGACTACTCATAAGGATTTTTCATCTTTTTCATAGTGACTGTAAATGAATTACAAATCAGGCAGTACAAACTCACAAATGGTGTCCTGTGAGCAGTACCCAGTGCTGGGTGACATGGTCTTAGTGACCGAACAAGCAGAGTAACCCAACCATACAGAAATAAAAGGGAAAAAATTACCATCTATGTTGTATGGACATATAAAAAATGACTGAAGTTAAGAAATGTTGCAAGCTAAAAGTACAGCACTCAGATATTGCCTTTCTTTCTGCAAGCATGGGATAAATAGTTCTACTGGAAGGAAAACGACTGTTCAATAAAGACGCATTTTAACAAAATAGAAAGTAATGAGATTTGACTAACCTGGAAAGAAAAAATTATCTTTGTCATCTGTACCTCTTTAAAATTCCTTTAAAAGGAACGTATTTAAACAAAACTGGTAACATCTTAGTTATTTTGATAATAAACTGCCTTATGAAATAAATAAAGAATATCTCACATAAATTTCATAAAGGGACAGCCTGCAATTTAAGACAGGTCACCCTTACTTTGTATATTAAAACAGTGGCAGGAAAAAGAAAATCCTCTTTCTTTCAAGTAAAATACAGGACATGCAGTACAAACACTCCAAGTGTTCAAAAGTCACTCTAATTGACATTAGTCAGTAGGAGAGGGAGGAAGAAAAACAATTGTCAAAGCTGCAGAACAACTCACTCTCACAACATTTTGCTTAGTTACCTATGACAGAATTTATCTATGAAATACTCAAAATATCAGTACTTTTCAACATTTCTGTTGTCATAAACTTAGTAAGGTAGAATTTATTGCTTCTGCAAAATTACTGCACTGGGACTTAGATGAAAGTTTTATTCTAACTAATAAAAGTATATATTCCAATGTTTTAATCACCAAAGAAAAGACAAGAGCTAACCTGGCACTGACTGAATTGTTTCTAAACAGCTGAATATAGTGTTCAGTGTTTCATTTAACCCTTTACCTCTTTTTGCTTTTTAATGATGACAGAAAATTCCGTGTAGGGGATCCTTGGATTTAATTCACATCCCATTAATGTGGCACCCTCATAATCTTTGATGTAGCCAACATATTTTGCTTTTGGTACTTTGATATCTTTGGAGAAACCCTGAAGAAGAAAAAAAAGGTTAAAAAAAAAGTCCCTCAAGCTGTCATGATGCCATTTTCCTTTTACATTTCTTTTAACTTGAAATGCTGTGATGATTTAGAGCCAAATTCATGATAATGTTAAAATACAGACAATACAATGGAAAGAGTTACAGTCCCCTGTTCATAGTGTTGCAAACACCTTCTCATAGGAGTCACTCACTCCAAGAATACTTAATTGCTTGTATGTATAGAAAAAGAAGGGAATAGGGGAGATAAAGAGAGGGAGGAAAAGATCTTTACTGCGGACAAAGTTCCTGATTTTTCAAAACATTTGCTACTGCCAGTCCTGTAGTCATTAGTCAAGAAAAGTTGCTGTTGAAGTCGATGAGATGATAGTAATTTTATAGCTTGAAAAAAAGTGATTTTTTTCATTTTTATATTTCAAGTTAAAAAATAAGATAACAAATCCCATTAAAAGTTCCAAAGTTATGCTACAGTCTTTATACAGTTCAAAAGTTCATTAAAAAACAAACCCACAAAAGAATTAAACAGGCAATAAAGAGCAGTGTAGGAGTCTCACTTTGGCTGCATTTTATTCTTCTGTTACAGTGCTACCTATGAAACCTCAGTAAAACTAAGGCATCCAATCAGAACTTCTACCTCACAAATTACCATCAAAGGCTTCAGACTTAACGGTGACTCAGCACCTCTACATTTGGGAAGGGACATTTCAGACATGAAAAGTGTCTGTGCACATATCTGGCTGCTGTGTCAGAAGCTCAGCTTTTATTCTTGTCAATGTGTAGAGTGAATTGTAACAGTTTTATATACAGAAGTATAGAACATCTGAAGTTGGAAGGGACTTAAGGTGGTCATCTAACTCCATCCCTGCTCAGAGCAAGTCTCATTAGATCTGGTTACCCAAAGCCTTCTCCAGTCTTTAAGACTGCCAAGGACAGAGATTCCACAACCTTCTGGGCAACATTTTCCAGGCTTTGACCACCCTTAAGACAGGATGGAGAGGGAAAATAAAATAATAAAAAAAAAAAAAAATGAAAAGTCCTATCTAGTTTCAATTCCCCATGATCCAACTTGTGTCCATTGCTCCTAGTCCTATTGGTATACATCTCCTAGAATAGTCTGACCTCTACCTTCACTCTACCATCTGATCAGATAGTTGACACCTACTTAATATATCAAATCTATTTGACAGATTAGACATCACAATCTTTCCTTAACTTGGACCTCATGCTTCAAATCAGGATTGGCAGTGAGCACAGGTCAGGTAAGTTCTAGTCTGCTGCAGGTATGTCCAGTCCTTCTTTACACTTCTTATAAAATGAGTGAAGGAACTGAATGAATAAAGAAGCTGACCCATATTCAATTGGATTTTAGACTGAACAAATCATAGGCTACACTGCACACCTATACTCTGATAAGTCCATCAAAATAAAAATACATTATAAGCCAATATCATTACCCAAGATGAACACAAAGCATGTATTGTAGATTAAAAAAAATACACATAAAATTGCACAGTGCACTATATCAAACTAGTTCATCACATCTAGTTTATCATTGCTAGATGTTAACTTCTTGCACCAAGCAATTTCTTACATTGACTTACTTGTTTTTTGAAGTAGCCAATAGCATATTCATCTGCATATGTGAGAAAGTTGAGAATGTTGTGTTTGATGTGGTACTCCTTCAGATGGTTCATTAGGTGAGTCCCATAACCCTGTGTGAAATGTGCAAGGAAAAAAGCCATTACAAAGTCTCTGGGGATTGCACATATTAGAAACTGTGGACCAAGGGTTATGACAGACTGTTTTTCAAAAAGCCATTTTTCCTCTAGATCCTGCTTTAAAGATTTTCTCATAAGTAACTTGGTGAGGTGTACTCAAAATCAAACTGTTTTCAGCCTTGTAAGGGTACCTTTATGGCCCAACAGGGAACATAAAATATAACAGCTGCCAATGTCTGATTCACTTTTAATCTGAAGGAGAGCAAAAACTATGGATTTAAAGAGGTACATAATCTGCAAGTTGTAATTCAAGTTGCACACATTTTTTTCTTTTTAAGCTAGTATCAACTATTAATAGTCACATACTTCATCAATAACAAAACTCCATATACTGTAATAGGGCACCCTTTCTTAGTCATAATGTTTCAAAACTGCAAAGCAGCAAATACCAAAATTACTCCTTCTAGGGGCACCCATCTCTGATTTGCTGTGTTCTGTGCACTTATAGCAGAAACTGCCTCCAAGGATTTATAATCTGAATTTATCATAGCACGTAAAAGGGAATAGTAAAACAGTTATTACCATAATAAGCAGCATAAAATTATTGAGTCCACAGTCAAATAATAGCTATGGCTTCTGACTGCACACAGGAATATTTTCATTCAACTTCAAAGTAATCAAAAGGTTCCACTTATTCACATTTCCAAGTAAGTTCTAGTCTTTCCTTTCTGCTGTGAGATGAAGAAATGTAAAACACACAGGAAAGCCCATAATAATGTGTTGTTCCTGCATATATTCCAGTTTTAACATCATGGAGACTAACTGGACACTTACAGAAATATACACGGAATTGGTTTTGGTACTCTGGTCTTGAAAACTGGGGACATTTTTACTTATGTACTTAAGCCAGAAAAATACATTACGAAGTATATACTTCTGATTAAATTTATAATTTAATAGCTCCAAACATGGGAATAGCCAGCTAAAGCAGCAAGTTAGGTAAGTGCTGAAGCTCAATACAAACAATTTAGTAGTGACACATTGTCTTTAAAATTCTACTAATCTAGGACCAAAACCTGTGCATTTTTCCTTCATTTCCAGCTACTGTTCACATCATCTAGTATTCAGATCTCATATTTAAAATTGAGACCTTGTACATATAAAAATAAGTACTTTTGAATTTGAGGAAGCTCTTAGAGCTGTACGTTCACTTGTCAGTGGCACCATCATACATGGCATTAGCTGTCAAACTGCTTTTTTGTATTTGATACCATGTGAAGTGGTATAGCATTACTTGGAACTCAGAAGTGCTCAAGATAATGAAGACACTTTCTAACTGCAAATTTTAATTCTCAAATTCTTTGAAGAGGACAAAAACTTTGAACCAAAATTTTTAATGAAAAATGTCTTCCTTAAATGCAAGTTAGCAGTACATGAGCTAGTCAAGCTCCTCACTTGCCTGCTCATCAGCAGGGTGGAAGGAACAGTGTATGAGACTGACATTTTATTTACACTTGAAACACTGCAATTCATTCCAGTAATTTTAAAGCATCTAATCTCTGACAAAAGAGAAGAAGTCACCTTTGTGCCTCAAAGAAATTCCAAAAATTATGATGACAATTATTTCAAAAGTGCTGCTGAACTATTATTTTTTATAACTTTCAAAGGATTTATTGATTCTAACACTTGCCAAAGTCTAACATTCCTAAAAGGAAACTAAGCCATGTATAGTAAAATTAAAAAACAACTTTGTAACATGGGATCAAACTATCCCCAAACCAGTCCAACTTTTAGATATCACATATAAAGGAAAACAAAATTATCCATATTCCTTATTCAAACCTCGACTCGAATCAAAACAGGAATTTATTTTTGCCAAGAGCAGGCAGTTTAGCTATGTGTGAATATTTAGTTTTTCTCAGTTACCTGATGGTAGAGGTCACCCTACTTACAAATGTGGGAAGACAAATTTTCAGAAATAGTCAATGATACAGCGAGGCACACAGATGGTAACAGAATAAAGTGAACATTATGCGTGCATATGCAAGCTAGGAGGCACTCTGGTGGGTCAGATTTATTTGTTCGATCATATTCTTCCTAAAGAATCACAACACATTCTTGGCAGCCTAACTTGAGTAGTGCAGTTGGTTGTTTTAGTAGAACAAAACCACCTCTTATGAATTAGTCAAGCTTAGAATACAGCTAGTAAGCATATTCCATTATTGTCTGCATTTGCTAAGACACTTTGGATACTTTTATGACAGGCCACTGCTAAGTGCAGGGGACCATTCCTCTCTTAACACCAGGCTAACTAAAATTAAACATAACCCAAATACTAACAGTATTTGACATAGGTTTTCAATCCCACTGTAACCCTTGCACACCCAGGGCTCTTCCTTTCACAAAATTTTTGCATGTTAACTGCTACAAACCCCGATTAACCCACATCTCAGAACAGTTTAAACTGAAAATCATGAAGCTAGAGCACCACCTAAAGGCAAACTCTTGAATCAAATGGTCATAGTCGGATCTTTCTGTAGTCCACTGGGAAAGCAGGAGGAATCTCCTGTATTCAAAGTGCTCTCTTTCAGCACAGTCAACAATTCTCAACACTCAGAGAACATTTTGTGAAGTTAACTCAAAAAGAATTAATATAATAGACTATATGCTTATATTCAGCTGCAAAACTATAACGTTTTTGATATTTCTTGTTTTCATTGAAATCACTTAATGCTGCAAAGTGACTGAACACAACTTATTGTCATACACAAGCAATACTTAATTCAGTCTACGATGAGGTGTTATACTACAAAGGTAACTGCAGGAGACAGAGGAGTGAACAGTCCAAGAACGGGAGACGACTGGTGAGGAACTGGTGTTGGCAGATATTTTATCCAATTAATTACAAGTAATCATATTATGATGTAATGATTCTACATGCACATTTGCTTATGTTTGGTGTATAATATTCAGAATTACTACCTTTCAAACTGCATTTCTCTTTGGCAACACATTAACATATTCAACGTAACTAACAAAATTAGAAGCATATGAAGTAGTGTATGTGACTCAAATGCATTTCATAAACTCTAGTAAAGAATTATTTTTACCTTGACTTGTTCATTGGAAGTCACAGCACAGAAAACAATCTCTGTAAATCCTTGAGAAGGGAACATCCGAAAGCAGATACCACCAATAACACGACCATCTTTTATTAACGCAAGGGTCTTGTGCTTCCTGATAAAAATAACAGTCACTTTAATTCAAGTACACACTACATAAAGTGCCATTACCCTCTTCTTTGATTGTGAATTCTGTTTTTTTTTTTCACAAACTTGTTTCACTCCTTTCCATGATGCTAATGCAACTGTATATGCCTCTGCTAAGTCAGCTGCTTGTATCTACAGAACAGTTGCTATTTTAACATCATGCTGTGAATTTCTCATAAAATTCATCATTCATGCAGCAAGGTCCTGGCCTTGTCAAGTACTCCTGGATGCTAGGGTAATGCTCAATAAATAAGAGTTGTATTGCTTTCATTGAATATATTGCTGACAGTTCACCATTATACATTTCTCAAGATGATTTTGCCCTGACTAAATTAGAAATTAATGGAGTTACAGGACAGCAAGTCCTTTCTAAGGGATTGCTGTTTCCTTGCGTGTGCTCTCTATAGCTATGCTATCAGTTTCAAATGCAGCAAGAAATTATATTTCTTATTTCTAATCACCTACTCCCAGTGGAATCAAGATCATAATAAATATCCATTTCTGTTGTACTTAAATTGACTGCCAGGAAATACATAACATGGTGCAATCTGAACTCTTGTGTCAAGGATTAAGAATTTTAATGTAATCCTCAAGGTCTGGAAAGATTTACCCTGCACCTGCTATCTAGGTTATTCAATACATGGTATCGTATAAACTGTATAAACAATACAGTAATTTACAGAAGGTATCTCTCTGGGGGGAAAGGTTGGTGCCAAAAATGAGCCTCTGCCAAAAAAAATAGTCTGAACACTAGCTATATTTTGTGTTGAAGGAGATTTTATACATTTTTATATACTTTTTTTTTTTTGCACTTATTTTGGTACTTCGTATTTGTAGAATTACAGGAGTAATGTATTACCTTGAACTTTTCATTTTGTTTACTTGTGTTTGAGTTATTTAAGCAGCAAGATTCAGTAAGGATGGCCATTTTGGAAGTAAAAATATCAAAAGATGATAAACGGTAATAGCTGAAAGGAATTTGGGAAGAGAGCTGTTGGATTCCAGTGTCTCACACATGACACAGGTTTGTGTGTACCCGCATTCAGAGCGGGTCTCCAGGGGGTGCACTTAGAGATTCACGGCAAATGCTGGGATACTCTGGCCAGCCAATGTGACTTGCTTGCTCTGGGTTGACTGTTTGCCTCAGGCATATAAAGGAGGACATTTTCTAGTTGCAGCAATATCCATACCTTTTTCGCAAGCAGAGACTGTTCTCCAGTTTTTTATACAACACTTAAACTACCAGCAGTTCCTCTCAGCCTATTAGAAGAGTCTTTCCCAACAAGAAATAGGGGAGAAGGCCATGACTTAACACCACTATTTCAGAATTTTGCTTTGATGTTCAGTTACGAGGGAACATGGTGGCTTCAATCAGTAGCCTCTGCTTGAGATCATAGTGCTGCAAGGGCACCTAAGGTCAGACAAGATCCTCATGCTGCCTTTCCCTCCCAACCAAGCCGTGCTTAACCCCACATAGGAGAGGTAAAAGAGTATGGATCAGTGCTGTTTCCCTCTGAAGAATCCAGGAGAAGGATCCAGGATCAGCCTCCTGTACCTAGAGACTGAAGACCTGTCCAACAATCCCCAGTACTGGGCAGTCTGTGCTTCAGGGACAGCACAGACCCACCAGGAGCAGCAATGTTTGCTGGCACCAAGAGAGTATTGCCAAGGGAATGTGAGCCTAAAAGCAGAGTAAATGGATCCAGAAATGTTTTTATAATCACTGCTGCAACAGCACTGAGCACAGGGGTTGATACAGTCTGTGGTGGAGAAAGGCCCTTCCACAAACCAGGCTGCATATTTGGCTGCAATCAACTCAGTCACTGCTCCTCAAGGTCTCTGCTGACACACAATGCACCAACAGGCATTCTCCACTGGGAAGTCCTTCGGTGAGTACAGCAAACCCCTAGGCTATTATCGGGCATGGATTGCTCAGAGGCAGAAATTTGGGGAGAATAAACTGATCAGAAGGAAGCAGACTCTGTAGGAAACACAATGGTGGAAAAGTGGATGCTTCTGAGGAAAGCCTCCTTGACACTTGAGCAGCTGAGGCACAATTCAGTCAGGACACTAGGGTAGGTGGAGGACAACGTGCAACCTCTGGATGCTGCTAAAGCCAATGTGTCTCGTTCCAAGTGCATGTGGTGTATCAGCTGCACTCAAAGCAAAACAGGAAACTTGCACTGATAAAGAGAAAAGCAACATGCTCTGGTGAGGAGTGTTTTCTCCCATGCTGACTCAAATGCTGCTGTTCTACATAAATCCCACAAGTTCTCATCAAAAAACTTCAGTCTGCTGCCATTTGGCTCACAATCTCCACAGAGGATGGAGCAGCCAGCAGGTTAGTTTGAGCCTGGAAACCACCAATAAGCACCGTAATTACTTTCTGACTTTCAGTTCTAACATTTGAAAGTACAAGACAAGTAGGAGCCTTCCCCACAGGCCCACATCCCTGTATTGCATTTGCATGGCAAGGTTTTGGTAGTGGGGGGGCTATAGGAGTGGCTTCTGTGAGAAGCTGCTAGAAGCTTCCCCTGTGTCTGACAGAGCCAGTGCCAGTCTGCTCCAAGATTGGCCTCACTAAGGCTGAGCCCATTAGCAGCAGTGGTAGCACCTCTAGGATAACATAGTTAAGAAGGGGAGAAACCTACTGCACAGGAACAACTGCAGCCAGAGAGAGGAGTGAGAACACATAAAAGAACAGCTCTGCAGACACCAAAGTCAGTGAGGAAGGAGGGAGCAGAGGCACTGGAGCAGAAATTCCCCTGCAGCCCATGGAGCAGATCATGGTGCAGACCATGGTGAGGCAGCTGTGTCCCTGCAGCCCTTGGAGGCCTATGAGGAGCAGATCTCCACCTGCAGCCCCTGGAGAACCCCATGCCAGAGCAAGGGGATTCCCGAAGGAGGCTTTGACCCTGTGGGCAGCCTGTGCTGGAGCAGGCTCCTGGCAGGACTTGTGGCCCCATGGAAAGAGAAGCCTGCACTGGAGCAGGTTTGCTGGCAGGACTTGTGATCCCACAGGGAACCCACACTGGAGCAGTCTGTTCCTGAGGGACTGCAGCCCGGGGTAAGGTCCCACAGTCCCTCATATCTCCTGTGGGAGGGACCCCACACTGGAGCAGGGAAAGAGTGTGAGGAGTCCTCTGAGAAGGAGGAAGAAGCAGCGGAGACATCATGTGATGAACTCACCACAACCCCGATACCCCTGCAATGCTGGGAGAGAGGTAAAGTTAACCCCAAGAAGAAGGGCAAGGGGGTGGTGGGGGAAGGTGTTTTAAGATTTTGGTTTTATTTTCTCATTACCCTAATCTGATTTGGTTGGTAATAAATTAAATTAATTTTCCCCAAGTTGAGTCTGTTTTGCCCATGACAGTAACTGGGAAGTGATCTCCCTGTCCTTCAACTGACCCATTAGCCATTTGTTGTATTTTCTCTTCCCTCCCCACCTGAAGAGGGGGAGTGATAGAGCACCTTTGGTGCCTGGCATCCAGCCAGGGTTAACCCACCACAGTCCCACAACAAGAAGCCACATGTCATTAATACACCCACCAAGGTAGTAGTTGGGCACAATCCAGTTAGATTTGCTAGGATTTATAGGGGCTTGAAATTGCAAAAGAGTAGTATAGGCACAGCTGCCCTCCATGCCACCTTGGCTGGTCCTTTCTTACACTGCTACCTCCAACCAGCATCAGGCTTTCTGTTTCACCCACCAAACCGCCCTCCAGCAGTACTCACGGATCAAAGACCAAGCGCGTGATGTACTCCTTCGGCATTCGAGGCAGCTGATGGGAGAACACATTCTGCAAACCAACCAGCCACATCATGATCTTCTTGTTGGGCTTCTGGTTCAAGGAGTTGCCAACCACATGGAATTCAATCACCCCCCTGCGCTCCTCCAGCCTCGCTGCCTCATCCCGGGCTGAGTGTGCCGAGAGGAAGTTGGTCTGTACCACACAACAGAGAAATAAAATGACATTTTGGAGAATTCACATCCTTTGACAGAGCAGCCTTGATGAACAAGCAAGTGAAATCCCCTCTTTTTTTCCAAGCCACCTTTTTATAAAAATAGGATTGCCAATGCTTACCTTTTTTTTTTAGCAGAAGTGACATGATCAGATAAGTTGGATATACATCTACACTACAGCATACAAAGGCTATTCAAACTTCTTTTGGTAAAGATTAACAACAGCCATGACTATGACTCAAGTTCCAAAATCTCTCAAGGATCTGCACCCATCCAGCTGAAGCCTATGCCACTAAGTCCACTTTAGTCTAGCCAGCTTGGATAATGGTGGATTTGCCTACACATAGTGGAAATTCCAGATTTTAACAGGCAAAATCATGTATTTTCATTTTAGTAGTGTTTTCTACTATCTGTGCCACTATCATAAGAGCCTAAAAAGAACATTTTGATTCCTACTCATTTTGCTGTTACATATCTAGTAATTGCATCCATATATTTGAACGGAGATCAAAGTAATACAGACAATTTATTTAACTTTTTTTTCCAAGATCATTTTACAATGCCAAAACATTTCTACATGCACATACTGTTTGCTTTTTAGAGCAAAGTTTGGCTGCTGCCTTTCTAGTCACTGCCAGCCCCAACAGCCAGACTGGCACAGCGTTTGTAATATGCAGAGCCATCAGTCACAGTATACAGTTTGAGTAAGAAATGTAGGTGGTTCCAAATCTTCAGCAGTCACTAGCTAATCCTTGGCAAACAAGAGCTGCTGGCAAAACATAGCCTGGCAAAGGGAACAGAAAGAGGAAAAGCCAGCCAAAAAAAAAAAAAAAAGTGCAATTCTGTGCATGGCACAATTCTGCAATTCTGTTTGGTTTTCTCCTCCAGCAGGAAAAAAAAAGAGCAACTGGGGAAGACAGAGCAAATAACTGTTTAGAATCAGCCCTTATGCACTAGACAGAGGTTTTGACTTTAGATCTTTCATTCTGCTGCAATATTTGAAGCCCGTGTACCTTGCCTTAGGAGCTACACCCACAATTAACAATAAAAAGCATTCTCTGGAACAGTTCTGTAACAAAAGTACCTTGCAAAATAAGCTGGGCTCTACTTTTTTTACTATCACTAGCTTTCAACTCACTTTGCAAATAATGTACAATGCATTAAAAAAAAGCAAAGCAGAACTATTCTCATGTTAATGATGCATTTCATCAATATTTTTGACTTGCCTAATCACACTCTTTCAAGGTTTCTATTTTTCTTATTGGCAGCATGGTCAGTTTTGTGGAATATTTATTAAAACTGGACCATTTGCAAACTGGCCATTTGCAACACCAAGTCTACATATTTCTCTCACCTCTGGCCCAAGCATTGCTGCAGGATCTGTAATTGTTGACATTACTTCATTGATTAACTCAATAGGAATATCTCCCACAACCCTTGGTCTCTTGGAATCCTCCAGAGAATAGGGTTCATTATTTTTTCTCTTTTCTCCTATAAAACAAACCAGGACAAATTAGAAACAACCAAACTGTCACAGACTAGTACTATAAAGTCCAGCACTTTCATTATATTCTTTAGTTTGTATGCCAAATTTGGGGTTTTTTATCACTACAGAAAGGGAGAAAGAGAAATAAATGAAATCTGAACAATGCTTATCACTACTGCAATTTTGTCTTTGCACTAGGATATTACCATGAAGCAAGAGTAATACACCTCTCCTCCTATACCTCTGTAGTTCACAGTGAAAATATTTTTCCTATTTTCCTTCAACATACTCCGCAGTGAATCTCTGTGTTGCTGTCTTGGAAGGTGAGTGCAAAATACACAAATTACAGTGCATACTTCTAGACTGGGATTTACTGCAATTAAGTGTCCATTATAGATTTCTTTCACCCTTTTTTGTAAACCGAGCAGCATGTACAGTCTGACACATCATACATATTTAACTTAGAAAATCCATGTAAAGTTTCCAAATCAAAACATACCATGTTAATTATTAACTGCCCTACTAACTGTGGACTGACCTGTAACACAGCAAAAGCAACTAGTTAAATGCACGTAAGAGAAGTCTTCCAAAGAGTAGTAAAGTTACAATAATACTGATAGAGCCAGCTGCTAGCTCAGGATTTACCCAAGCAGCAAACTGCTAAATACTAGGAAAGCATACAAACAGGAATATCAGTCCATAGTTAGCTTGTTCCTGCATTTTTTCCGTAAAGAAAAAGAGTCAGAATGCAGAATTTGCATTTGTGATCAGCACTTGAGATAAGTTAGTTTGATTTTGTTTATTTCTGTGTTGTTTTGTTTTTTTAATATTCTCTTTCTGAAACAACTAGGTAGTTTAGGGCCCACTATGCCCATTATTTTACACATATGGCATAATTTTTTTTACCACAGTTATAGTACTCTAAATATATGGGGATCAAATGTTCATTCATTCCCCTTTTCAGGCTTTCAAGCAGTATAACTGCTTTCTTAACAGTAGAATTTTACTGTTAACCTCCGTTTGCTGTGGAAACTTTGATTCCTTTTCTTTATTTCCTACTTCTTAAACAGTTATTCCCATGTGAACAGACCTTCCTTCTTATTTCCCAAGAGATCAATTTCTTGTTTTAAAACAGAATTTTTTTAAGCAATCCGTCAAAAGTTCGCTGTAAATCCAGGTACACAAAACCCTTTCAAAATGCTCACCAATTCCTTCACAGACATATACAATTCACAAGTTCTGCAAAAGGCACACTGAATTTCCATTTATCACATTGCTCACACATTTATTCATTCTGTTCTTAATCAGTATATTGTTATTTCTTCTAATTCTCTGAAATAGGAGACTTAACATTGACAGTTTCCTGAAGTCTCTTGGAACCCCTTTTGAAACTGGTTTTGCATATGTGGCGTTTCAATTCTCTAGTGCCAATGGCAATTTCAGTGACAACTCAGCTGTACAACTTAATTATTAGCTTTTTAGTTTCATATTTCTTTTAAACTCTCAAAAAAAAGTAAATATTTCTAGTCACAACTTACTACTCATTTTGCTGATCTGTTACTAAAAAAGAAATCTTGCACTCATTCCCACTTTAAAGACCATTTCCCAATTTGTCCTTCAAAGAAAACTGCTTTTCAGGAGCCACCTTAAGTTCCTCTGTAGCTAGAAGGCTAAGAATTCATTTATCTTTTTCTGCTTCCTTGAGGACTTACTTTACATAAGCTCGTGATCATCTCTCTGACCTACAAACTCTCTTGACAGGCTCATTAATCCTGAGGTGTTTGAAAAAAGACTTATTAGGAGAATTTATGCATTGAACAACTTGTTTTCCCCAAAACTTCTGGTTTTTTTTTTTCTTTTTTTTTTTACCCTGACCTCATTCAGGTTTTAAATTTAACCTAGTTGGTATGTTTCTGCTTTTCTTCATTGTTCAAATGTATGCAATTTCAGTACCCTTGAAAGATTAAAACAGAAACAATGCAATGGCTCCTTATCCTCTGCCTTTATTTAAATGAAATATTTTTCCATGGCTCATAATAGGTGTACTCCAAGCGAAGTGTTTTTCAACAACCTCTGACACCAGCACCTCATCTTAATTTAAACTTTTTATTTATTTTTTTCAAATACATTTCCTATTTCTGCTACTTAAACATTACCGTAGTTGAGAAAAAGTCTGTGTGCACACATCTTTTAGCAAAAGCACCTCATGATCTCTATTGCAGAGTGAAGGTAACGGTCCCACGTATTGCAACTACTGATAATATCGACAGAAGCCAAAAAGGAAGTCTCCCTCTTCATACCTAGGTTTGGGTCAAGGGCAGAAGAAACTTTGCAAGCAGGACTCATATTTCCACTGTTGGGTTGCTCCAGAGATGAAGGACTTGCACTGTATGAAACAGATCTTGCAACAGGAGGAGGACTGATAACTGCAATAGCGTAAAAGACAAGCATAAAAAAATCAGGACATGGAATCCACTAGGTGCCGACACACCCATGAAGCCCATTATCATTCTGAAGAACTTTCATAGTGATAGACCCAACTTCACACCCACCACCTCAGAAGTAGCAGCTAACACTGTGCAACAGAGCAATACCACCAGTTTGCAAACAGAGAGACTCAAGATTTATCTCAATACATTTTTCTAAACTTCTACGTAATGAGACTGTATTATTGTTGGAAGAGAGAGATTGCAAATATCAGGCTTTATTATTCTGCAGTGCTGAGCACAAGCTAAGAAAACAAACTTCCTTCAGGTACCTGCCTAGCCTGCTGGCATTTAGCTTCATGAAAAGGCTTTTTGTAAGGGCCTATTGAGAAGCAAAATCTCATCACTCAGCTTCAGCTGTCCACTTTAACAGTGTTCAAAGAGGAGCTGGACAAATCAAACTCGATGAAGAGAGAAGCTGTTGCACCAGTTAAGAGGATGAAACTATTTTTTTTAAATGCCACAGACTAACATCTGTCTCTCAGATATTAAAAAAAGAAAACCCAACTCTCATCCCAAATCATTCTGGTTTTAATTTGTGTCCGGATTTTTGGCAGACAGGCAGGACACCTGCAAATCTTTCCCCTCGCCTTTATCCTGGTGTCATCAGCAGCAACAGCTCTTTTGTGCCATGTTCGTGCCAAGAATCCAGTGCCTGAAAGATGCACATTAAAATGAGCCATTGCAGAAATGTATATGATCGAATGAACTCTGAGGGCAACATTATTTTTAGAGTTGCAGTGAACTTGTGCCTAAGGCATAATTCACCAGTCCCTGGTGCAGACCAGGAATTTCTTACAAAAAAAAAAGCCTGTATCTGTCACAGTGGAATCTCCCTACTGCTTTAACAAATTCACTATCAGATGAACTCAGATGAAGTGCTGACATGATGATTTTGTTGACTGATAGTCAACAGTTGTTTCAAAACAGTGAATTGTTATAAAATATTGAATTAAATACTTGAAAATAAAGCCAACCCCTGAGCTGTATAAATAGATTTTAATAACTTCTGAGAAGGAAGTGAGAAGGGGAAAGTGAAAGAAGATGATCATCAATGCCTCCCTGCAATTCTAGGGCATGACTTACACCTCAGTACCACAACTGAAGAACAGTGCTGCAGAATAGCCGATGAGACACATGGCTAAGAAATAAAGCAAGGAAAAGCTATTAAAAAATGCTGAAGAAAATCAAAGGTCTGTGTGCACAGGCAATGGGACACCTGATGTGGAAGGTCCCTACTTTCCTACTGCTAGGCCCCTATGTCTCTTCTGCTACAGTCAGCGGGCTGGCATGGTCCTCATGTGAGGGGACCACTGTCCAGCATGTGACTCACTCCACTGCAGCCATTTACCCACTGGCACTGGCCATTCTCACTCTCCCACACTCAGTGCACTTGTGCCACTTGAATACTCAAATGATTTACCTCTGCACTCAGCCTGCTCCACTGGCACCTTTAATTAGCTCGATTTCATCATCAAAATGGGATTTTTATGCGAGAAAGTACCAGAGAGTCAGGCACCTGTTCTTACTTGAGACAGGCTGACTTCAGTATAGGCTGCTATTTATAAATGTGTGTATCTAAGTCTCATTCCTTACAATTCTTCACTTGTACAGGTTTACCTTTACATTCAGATTCTCCCTAACACAGCACTAAATGCAAATTACCTGTTTGGATCCCCAGCTGGCCAGTTCGGGACCTAGACACCATGAAATCCTGATCCCAAATGGGAGAATTCTGGCTGTACACTTCTTCTTCCAGCATTGACAGAAACCTAGGCACAAAACAAGGTGAAATAATAACAGGAGGATTCAAAACAGGTTCATTTTCAGAATAAGCATTTACAACTTTTTAAAATTTAAAAGTATTTACTGATTCAGTAAGAAAATGCTGTTGGCCAATGAATTTTTTTAAAACAACAAACACAGAAAATCACAAGGCAGACTAGACTTTAAGAACCCTACTTCAGCAGAGTGCTTTCACCTATGAAAAATTATCTTTGATTATAAGCAATATTTATCTAATTCACAAATGCAGAAAGAAACAATTACAAACTACTTTTACAGAATGAAACTTCATACTAACAAGAAAGCTATGAATTGACAGATGCCAAGGTACTCGTTATACAATGATGAGAAACTATGTCTATTTTGATAAACCAGTGTTTTGTAGATGCACTTGCTTTCTGCCTCTTACAGATTTATAAAATCCCAGAGTTAGTTATTAACAATGCTCTTAAGATATTCTCGTTTCTTTAAATGTCCTATTGTAACATTTAATTGCATATTTGCTCTTGCATAACAGTATTTTTAATCTTACTTGGGTACACTTAGAGAAACAGTGTTACTTAAACCTCTTCCAGTATTATTCTGTGAGAGAAAATCCACAGATAAGACTATCCAGCACGCTCGCCTTTCCAGGACTAATACATCAGCTCCCTCTGAGAAGCAAGATAGCTCCTTATCCTATGTTGCAGAAAGCAGAATTTGATATGGCACATTTTTACTCTCTAGAGTCATCTATATGTATAGAAACTATACAGGTGAAACCAACAGACTGTTGAGTAAGACTTCCTGAACAGGATAAGGATATTCAGGATCGAGTCCTACTCTTGTATTTGATATATAGGACGTTTATATCTGAGCACAGCAATGTGCAGTGTTTGCTGCTATCTATACAGCTGATAACAGCTAAAAAGTTCGTAACAGCTACTTGACCAGCTGTGACGGAGCAGAAGCACCCATTAAACTTCATCCAAGGCTACATTTACAGGCAGCGCAGAGGCTCTGTGTTCAGACTGCTTGGTGGCTACTTCCTAGGTACACACACACATAACCTGTGGGTGCTCCCTTTGCCCAGGAAGGAGCTGCCAGAACAGCCAGGAGCTCAGTACTGATACCAGGCATCAACTCTGTGCTCCAAGCTGCAGCTACTCCACCGGGTTCACTGCCTAACACCAGCAGAGACACAAATGCTTCAGACAAGTACAGCCCATAAAAGATTTAAAACATTATTCCCATTTCCCACAGATCATCAGCAAACAGTGCTTGTCTTTCTTTTTTCCCCCAGCAGAATACTAAAAGGAACAGCAGTGAATAATACTGCTTTTCAAATTACTTATCTAAGGTGTAAATGGCAGTGGAAACACAGGGGCACATGCACACCTCCTTCCTCCACAAATCTGCTTCTTGTATCAATGCATTGTTAAATCCTTTTTTTATACCTGTTTCAGGACCAGATTATGATCCTATTCCCAGATACACACAAACGTTCCTGTTTCAATAGCAGTCTACCCCAGAGGCAGTTTATGTTCTTCAAAGTGGTAAAAGGCACTATTAATAATAGTAGGAGCAAAAAAAATCCTGCCTCTACTCAGCTTAGGAAAGCTCACAGCTTTCACTCCTCTGAGCACTAACCCAACTCTAGCCCCAGACAGTAGCTTCCATAGCATCACTGCCACCAACTCTACTGTAGGCTCAGTTCCTTTGTCATTAGGAGGCACAGACTTCTAAAATATGGGTTAGAGAGCCAAGCGCCACCCTCACAAAATGTAATAATTGCTATTTAATTGTGAGAGATGATCATCCATCTTCCAGTACTGGTACAGGTAGTCAATATGAAATTCTTCAGGATTCACTAATGTGGTAATGTAGGATTCACTAACGTAGTAATACTGACTACTCTCTGTCAAATGAGCACATCTTTTCTATGGGCGGGGTTACTACTTGTTCGCTATTACGATGTTGACTTAAATTCTCAGCTGTATATAAATTCCACTACAACATTCCATTTTTACTGCTCCATCACAAAAGCAGAAGCATTCTGGAGATCTGGACCTATGTTGCTTCCAAGAACTACAGGACAAACAAGTAAGTGACCAACAGTACCTGCTAATAGGCAATAAGCACAATCCCCCACCAAGATGAATAATCCTTCTTATAAAGTAAAGCTCTAGGACAAAGCAAAACAAGCAGCTGTGTACATAAAATACACTAGTTCAAGTTATGACAGAAAAGAAAGCTGCGGTATCTACTTGTTACTGAATAAAAGGAGAAACTATTCTAAGCTGCAGGTAGTTTTTCCATTTCCATGCCAAAGTTGTGTACTACTAGTTAACCTTGAGTGCAGGCATGTTGCAACCGCTTACTTTGGAAAATGGGTGAGGATTAGTGTTCGCTTCTCTTGAGGAAGCTTGTCCTTTTCCTGCCTGGCCTGCTCCAGCAGCTGCCGTCTCATTACAGTAAAAACAGAGCGAAGCAATGTCCTACCAAAAACCTGGGTGGTTTCATACCGAGGTAGACTGTCACAGAACTGAGGGACATTGCAATAACAAAGCCACCTGTAAAGAGGAAAAAAAACAGGTAATTATCACCATCTAACATATGGATTAATGCAATAAAACCACTACCCACATCATTTATAATGCAGACGAGAGCTATACGACCATATAAATCTGTTCCACATCAAGTCTGGGCAGAGTTAAGCAGCACTTATATTGTCCAGTTTTTTAAAGAAATTACAGCCAAGTACTTTTAACTCTCCATATATTCTTTTTCTCTGCAGTCTGGTTTCCACAAAGCACTCTTGCTCCAGACATTAATCACAGATCACATAAAATTCATGTTGATGGCAGGTATTCTCTTCACATTCAGCCTGCCATGTCTCCTACCTGCAACTCCTAAGACCCTTTCGCTGGCCTGTTTTCTCCTCTTTAAACTTCTAAATTTCCCCATATAGATGCAAAAGGGTGACACTTTTAACTAGCTCCATCCTTGTCTGACTGGACTCTCACCGAGGTCTTGCACTAGCTGGCTTCTTCCCATTACACCCTGACTTGATATTCTTTAAGTTACAGTAACTCCCTCTCTAATGAGTTTTGCATTAAGTATATATGAAACAGAGCATGTCATGTTACTCTTCTTGGAAAAGGGATCATGGTACTAACTACGTGGGTCATGATATCTGTTAATTTTACACAGATTTTGATACCTGCATGTAAGCGAACAGTCAATGGTAGCAGAATCCGTCCGCAACCATTACAAAAGCTCCAACAATGAAAAGAAAATGCTATGAAATGGATGCAAACAGACTGTGCTGGATCTTGCATGAGTTTTCTCATCTGGACCCAAAGTACAGCCTGTCTCCAAATGCTCTTCCAAACTCTTGTGTCTTAACCTTTGCAAACACAAAAGTTGCAAAAGAGTTGTGAGATACTGTTGTTTGCAGACCTTTACTCCCTGGTTTTGACTGATAAAAGCACACCTCTCAAAACACAAGGATAAGTGTGAAACTCTGATATAGATTCATGCAAATCATTCGGTTTTCAAATTAAGATGGTCATTCAAATGAAACAAGAAGTCACAAGGTGCACCCAGCACCCTAAGCAGTGTCTTGAACACCGCAGAGGAGAAAAGCTCACAATGATAGGTTAGATCAGCTGGAAAGAGGTGGCACTTTGGGAAGCGGGAAACCTTAGAGACTGCAGGCAGGAAGGTCTGAGAAACCACAACTGACAAAATGATTAACAAAAGTCACCAGCCAGAGCCAATGCTAGCCATCGATTCCTAATAAAAGTTGACTCCAACTATAAACAAATGGAGGTCAAAGACCCACCAAAAATGGTCTTAGGAGCCCCATGATTATCAGAAAACAATACTTTATACCAGATAGTTATTTGAGGTGACAGGTCATCTGAGAGCATTTCAGTTGGACACACAATGCAGTCTGCTGTACCACCAGCCACAGCCCCAACTCATAACAGGACCTGCAATTCTCCTTCAAAGAGCTGAGGTTTGACAGAGGAATGGCCACCAGGAAGGCAGTGCTCATCCTCAGCTAGGAAAGGTGTCCCTGGCCATTCCTGGGAACAGGCATGCTGACAGAGACCTTTGCTAACTGCTACCTGTGCTCATGGGCAGCATGTTAACTATTATCTGTATTGGCAACCAGAACTTTATTGTTGCTGTGCTAACTAAAAAAGGCATTGCACTATTGTTATGAGAAAAGCAAAACTGAGACCCAGCTTTTTATCCTAGCTCATCTTTCCCCGCGGACTAAGTTATTCCCTTGAATTCTGACAACATATTAAAAGTTCGTAACAAAACCTGTAACTTTAAGGAAATTACTCCTCATTTAGTATTCAAACACTTACAAAATCATTTTAATTTTTTAAATCTTCCATGATTTGGCTTCAAAGTGTGATGCTTTACAATGCTTCATGTTACTTTTTTTTTTTTATAATTAAGTTGAGTAACAAATTGCCTGAATTTTATCTTATATGAGGCTCATATCTTAAGAGGTCTGAGAGCAACTCTGCGAATGCAGGACATGCAGAAGTACTGCCAGATACAGATGTTTATGATCTCCACTCCCTGGTTGTGGCTGATGAAGTATACCTCTTGGAACACAATGATGCATGTGAAACTCTGATATATCTTCACTAAAATCCTTAGGTTTTCATACAAACCCTGTAACTGCAAACATTCAGAAGGTGCACCTATGGCATATGGGTACTGGTGTATTCCTGAAATGTATATGTGACATATTTGTAAGCAAAACCAAGCAAGGGCACCATTACCTGGTATAATTCACTTTATACCCCGCAATATCATCATTGGGTGATCTTAGTCTTCGCTGAGAAGGTGTCTCCAGGTGCCAGTAGTTAATGCGGTTCAGAAACATTTTAGCCAGTTCCACTATTGTTTGCCTTTCCTTTGAGGGTAAGTGGCTAAATTTGTACTGCACAAAATTATTCACACCCTTAAAACAGAAGAAAATTATGTTTCATTACTTAGCCATAATTTTTGCAGAAGTGTCCTCAAACATTCCTTACTTTCTGTTTATTAACCCTGAACTTGCATTACATGGGAAAGAAAACAAATACAAGAAACCATGAACCTCTTGCTCAGCTATTTTTGTAACCACCACAAGCAGGTTCCCCTGTAAAACAACAGAAGGTACACCCAGATGTTTTATTATATCCGCTTCCAGCAGCTGACTTAAAGGGCTCTTTATTCTTCCTTACTTCTCAAAGTAAAAAGCTTTGTCAGTGAACAGAGAAAGATCTGGTAGGCTTTCTTCTACCTGCCATTTTTGCTGATAACCATGCTGCGTGATTTATTTCCTCTGTAAATCAAGTATAAACTACTAACCTCCCCAGCTACTTTTCAGTAGTCAACTAGGGCTTGTGGATTTCTAGTTAAAAGTTGTGACTACACATCACATTATTTCTTCAAAAAGTGCCAGTATTTCACAAGTTTGTCTCCTCATTGCACTTTATATGCTGTCTACTTTAAAAAAAAAATATGGAAGATAGCAAAAATGTGTGAAGTGCTACAGTATATATATATACACACATTATGTTATAAATTAATTACAATAATGCTGCTTAGCAAAAGATTCTGTGTGACTGAGCTGCTGAACTGCTAGAAACAGAATTGAAAATATCAATCTATTTCAAGGGAAAATTATTGCAAAATACATGTAAAAAGGACTCCCATTTTATCCCTATGCTTTACTTTCTTATGCAAATTGGACTGTATGTAGAATACGATGAAAAATTATGTAGTACAACTGTTTAATAGTACATTTTAATGACTAGGAGTGTATGAAGATTACACACACTTATTCTTTGTTCATACTCAAACGAAAGAAGAACTTAAGGTGAAGACGCCCCAGAAATTCAGCAATGAAGTGTTTTGATTTTCCTAAATTATAAGAAGTCAGAGTTGCAAGGAAATAATTACTGCACATAACAGACTTCACATTTAAAATACCCTGTTTAACAATAGAGCATCCATTCATCCACTTATGGGAAAACATTGAGCTCCTGTTTCAGTGAGGTATGTGAGCCTCTGCATAGTCTGTCTGGAACTAATGGCCCACTTCTGTGCTAAAAGTGCATTCTCAGGAGCTTGTTTAACCAAATCTGAATTTGTCACATGCTCTTCATCCACTGAGAGTTACAAAGGCCTCAGTTATTCTTTGTTTTCTGCTTTGTTTTTTATTGTCTAGTCTTTGAAAGAGAAGGGTATGATCTCACTGAATTGGACTGTAGCATGTTCATTGATTTACAGGAAAAAAAGTGTCATTTTAATATTGGATTTCAAAACTTCAACAGCATTTTTCATCACCTGAAACAAACAAAGATTAGAACTAACACACATGAAAGCAGTTATTTTAAATTTATTCTCTAAAACCACAAAAAATGTCAGTTTCATTAAAGTATAAGATGAATGATGAGAAAAGTCAAATAATGTAACTATTGTACCAACATTAAAGGAGAAGCAGCAGCAGCAATCTCCTACAGTCCCCTTCTTTGTCATATACAAAGTAATATACAGAAGCATGTGCACACTACCTACAATGCCTTATTCTCAAAACCAGCGTCTATGTTTAAAAAAAAATAAAAAGAAAAAACAAAATCAAACCAACACCCCCTAAAAAGCATTGAATAATATTAATAAAATAAAGCAACATACAACCAAACCCATGGTTTGACTGTTTACCTGTTCAATGCTGGGTTTCTCAAATGGGGGACTCTCCAAAGACCCTTCTACTACAGGTTTTCCCATCTGTAAAATGCATTTCCTCAAAAGCTGTTGAAAATAAACAAATTTTTAAACATTAGGATATTTGCATATATGGGGTCAATGGAAGCCAGAGGTGCACAACACACTGCATGCAGTGCTGAAGACCTTCTGGCTATATATCAGCTTGTCTAGTCATCTAAATTTATAGCTAATAAACTTCATTGTGAATTCAGCTTCTTAGAAATGTGGGTAAGGGGTCTCTCTAAGTAAATACAGGCAGATAGGTTAGCATTTATGACAACTGACTTTTCCCAATGTGCAAGTGAAGAGGTTAATGCTTGCAGGTTGCACAGTTTATAGATGGGACTCAGGGTCAGATCCTCAACCATATGGATGACTTTTGCAGCGGTACATGGTACACTGCGAGTACCAGAACGTCCCACCACAGTTAGCCACTAGAGTATCACACTGGAGAAAAAGTCTCACCAGGTAAAGTCAATGTACGCATGAGGGGCAGTGACATTGGCTATGTATGAGAGAGTGAAAAACCTGAGATCATACTACACAAGTTCAGCTTACTTTGAACAGGTAGAAATAAACTTGCTTGGTGTCTGCATCTTCTTCTTTGTGGACACAGGTGAACAGGTACTCTACATCCAATACAATCCCCAGGAGCCTATTCATTTCTTCTTCAGACACGTTCTCCAGGTGTGAAACATGAGCCGCTAAATGAAATAAAAGTCCAAACCTGTAAAAAGCCTGCTGACAGAACCAATAGCACAAGTATTCCCTAGGATATCTCAAACTAAGCTATAATGGTAAAGGCACTGATCCTGTAATAACCTACTTAAGCTGAACATCTTCTTAGAAGTAAATGAAATATGTATCACATCAGAGCAAATTGTAAAGGTAGTCCAGTGGTGGCAATTCCCACAGCAGAAGAATGATGGCTGGTAGGAATCACAGTGTCTGTTAACACTTAAAACTGACCACAAAAACCCTGTTGATATAACTACACATTTTTGTCCAGGTACTATGCTTCTGAGACAAGGTTTCTTGACTAAATACAATAAATCCATAATTCCCATGAACTACATAATCTAGGTGTTGAGCAGCACCTTATTCTGTGAAGATTAAAAAACCAAACCAAACAAAAATCAGCTCCATAAATACAGTTTTGTTTTAAAGTGGACATTACTGGCTAAGTCTCTTACTTTCATATCATGTAAAGTCAAACTACAGTTTGTGCACACTACACTAACAAAGAGTTTGCAGACTGCACGTGCTCATTTATTCAAAAGTTTTTTTTAAAAAAGCATCTTTTAATGTATCGTAATTTCTAAGCGACAAACTGCCTTTTATCATCTCCAAAGGTAAAGACAGATCCACATCTGTTATTTTCAAAAGCCCGAGGTTTCTACAAGTGAAGCAGGACACTCATTTCAAGCTGGTTTGAACAGCTGGCCCCAGGGAGAAGGCAAAAAGCCCCAAGAAGTCAATTCCCAGAAAGAGGATATTTGCATTACAAAAAACAATGACCTTCTCTGACTCCAGGCCAATATATGTGGTTATGCACATCCTTTAATCTGAAAGGACGAGAAAATATCCTTTAAAAGAAAAGGAAAATTACTTAAAAGGTTGGCCATATAAGTTTTTCTACAAATTTAACCAACATTTACTTCTTAGATAATTATTATATAAAGTTAGATATGCCACTGCGATTAGGACTGGTAAGCAATTTTCAAAGCAAATCTGATTCCTTAGTGAGGGAGGAAGCAGGGAGTAATGACTTGAAAACAATCCTATTTACTGGCCACCTGACAAATATGGTTTGGGGAAGGTTGGTATGACACCTGCCAAAACATTTAAAATCTAATAAATTTGTTCAGCTTCAAGTAAAAAGGAGATCGTAGCTCAGAACATTAAAAAGATGCCAGCAACTGTTTCCACTTAAATGAACATTTATAGTATCTTAAGTTCTGAGCATATGATGAAAGAGGGCTGGGGGGGGAGGCATCATGATCTTTCTTTAGGGACAAATACTCAGCATTCTGGGCAGAATAAAACCATTTTGTTTCTGTCCTTGAGCTTGATATGAAGGTTTAATATTCCCAGCTGTCTGTTCTGATCTTGCAAAAGTAATAAATTCCCTTCTAGATGAGCACTGCATTAGAAATTGATAACATACCAAAGAAACATTGCACTCCACTAACAAATGAATAAAACATCAGCATAAGAAGCCATTTCCACGCAGTTTCCATAACAATACTGAAAGTTACCTTGACTACTTACTGGCTGCATTTAAACATTTTATTAGAGACTTATTACCCACAAGGTGAATCTAAAAGCAACATATTACCAGCATGCATTTACTACAAGTTACCATTTCCTGTAGAGTCACCAATGTTGCTACATCGCCTCAACAAACTATCTTTCTTCAGATGTTCACAGCCCTTTCCCAAATTCTTGTGGCCATTAGCAAATCTTTCACTAATCAAAGCTTTTGTACACTGACCTTGAACACTGCATTACTTTTGACTAGCACTACACAGTCCCATCCATCTGCATTGCCCAATCAGTACAACCTTCTTCAGTTGCTGTTGTGCTTGCAAAAAAACCAAACCAAACAAAAAACAAAAACACAAAAAACCCCACAAGTATAGGTTGCTACGGTATGCAGAAGAAGAAAGCAAGCAGAAAGACTATGGCCAATGTAATGATAAGAAGACCTGTTATTTATTTTAGTTGTGCAACTTCAATAAGCAAGTACTTTAGTGTATGATTGAGAAGCAGTGAGAAAATGGATTAATGAGAAAAGTGTCCAAAGTCTACCTCAAAATCAGTGTGTACATAAAAACACTAGTGATTTATATAGGGCAGGCAAAGCAAGATATACTCAAATATGCTACATAAAAGTGCATAGGCAAGAACAGAAGACAGTGCTGGGGAAAAAAAAAAGGGAGACTGTGTATACACATTAATTAACTAGTTTTAAAAGTGAATCAAGACTGAAAATGTTTACCAGCAGGCAACTGCACCAAACCAATCAAATATGAAAGAGAAAAGAGCCTCTGACTACATAATGTGCTTTTGACGCCGGCGTAGACCGAATTCTCCTGAAACCCAAGTCAGTCACCACTTTATGGTAGTGATGCAATACACTGCCCAAATAAAAGAAATATTCATTAAAAAACCAGTACTGAGCCAAGCCATGGGGCTGAGCCACAAATAGCAAAATACAAGTCATATGTAAGTAGGCAAAATACAAGAAAAGAATACAAAATGAATAGAAATCATAGGCATGTAGACAGAAATAAGCTCTACAAGCTAGTAAGCACCACCAAAGAACTTTACACACCAAAAACTGCACTGCTTGAAGATTGAACCATACCCCCCAAAAGGGATGTCTTAAGACTGATGCCTAGGATTGCCTTCGGAAGAAGATATTAAATTAAAAAAAAATAAAGAAAAAGGCAAAATTCCTAAACATCCTATATTTTATATCAGGTACAGCTTTAACCAGACAGGAATTTCTACATCACCATTTCAATGGCTCTTCAAGGAAGAGAAAATGCAGTGCAGATGATAATCTGAAGCCTACACACCTTGTGGTCACTCTGGTTTTAAAGGCACTCAGCAGGAACATGCTAATTTAGAGGAGATGAATAGGAAATTATCTTGGAAAACATTGCTGAAAGGCATACTTCTGCCAGTAAAGTGAAGAAGCAGACAGCAATTCATTTCAGTTATTTCAAAGGAAACATCATCCTTATTAGCTGAAGTCAAAAGAATAAGAAATATTACCTTTTCTAAAACCAGAAATAAAAAATAAATACAGTTTCTTCCATAAGTACATTTGATGGTACTGGTTTTATAGTACTGATTTTCCCTGGTTCCCTAGCTAAAGAGTGATTTAAGATTTCTTAATAGACCAAAACCAGCCTCAGACTTTGGAAGCACTGAGGTTTTTCTGCAAACTACATAGCATTCACAAATTCTGCTGAAGAACTGGGAACTGACAGACACAAAATCTCATAAGATTAGCGTCAAAAAAAGAAAGACCCCTTTTTTCAAAGGCCACAAACGAAAGGGACAGGTAACACAAGCTACCCTAACTGCATAACCAAATGCAGCACAGAGAAGCTATATGATGAAAGTTTAACTCAGCTAAAGCCACCAAACTTTCTGTCAACACTATGCACTTGTTAATTTCCTGCAAGTAAACCCAGAGTACGGGGATACCAAGAAAGGAAAGGAATCTGCTGAAAAGCCCAGAAATAGATCAGATGTAGTTAGAGTATAAAATGAAAAGAGGGGGGAAAATAGAAATAAATCCCAATTTAAAAAATCCTACACAAAATGGAATCATCGAACAGTTAGGGTTGGAAAGGACCTTAAGATCATCAAGTTCCAGCCCCCCTGCCATGGGCAGGGACACCACACACTAAACCATGTATTTTCAAAGACAGACACAATGTAATGATACATTGTAAAGGTTTTAGATTACCTAAGTTTTGGACATCAACAAAAATTAAATAACAACCACTGCTTTTCAGTTAATTCTGAATATTATTTTAGCTCAGATTTTATTCAATATTTGCTAATACATACAGAAAAGGTGATCAGCTTTTATTTTGGATGCACAAATTCTTAAAAAAACAATACAGCCATTCACCACTCTTTTTCAGGCTTTGTGGGCAAATCATTATTTATTATTATTCTGAAAAGAACCAAACAAACCCACAACAGTATTTGACAGTGGATTTTGAGTAGTTGCTTCCAAGATATGCAAGCTGTACATATGCTAAGATGTACAACCCCAGTATTCTTTTCCATGACACAGAATAGGCACAGTTCGTTCTGTAGGTGAGTACCTGCTTTAGCAATGTTCAAGAGTATTTTACAGTTTATTCTGTACTAAGAAAACACAATACAGCCTACAGGAGAGAGTCATTCATGTTGTGACTAAGGCTGCTGACAGATAAAACCGTGTGACGTTAATGCGCATGTTATAAGAAGTATTAAAATTGTTACGGGTAGGTTTACAGTGCTTTCGCATTTCAGAACGTATGTGTTGTTAGAAGTTGTACCTTAGTTCACTTTCTTCAAAACTCATTTTAGGGTATTTTAATCTAAGTTATGGACATTTACACCCAATCATGACCCCCATCTCTAGGTGTTGCCATGACATCTTGACTTTTGTCTCACAAGAGCAGAGCAGAGATTCCTAGGTACAGGCACATGGACTGCAGGAGCAAGGCCAAAGCTTACCAAGCGCATGGCTGCAGCTGCGGCAGGGCTCTGCGAGGCTCACCACTGCCTGCTGCAGCTCTGCCCGGGGCGGTGTGGGAGGTGGGTTGGGGTTCTTCCACCCATTGCATTTACAGGATTCCTCAGCCTGAAATCAAAGCAAAGGGGTATCGATCAACACTGCAAAACACAGACACTTCCTGAAATTGCATTATTTCAAGGGCAATAAAACCTAACATTAACTACAAGTTGGGGGTTTTTGTTTTGTTTTGGTTGGGGGGTTGGGGTGTTTTATTATAGTCGTGGGTTTGTTCTTCCTTTTTTACCTACTACACAGCTAGGCTTTATCTTCTAGAAATAATTAGAAATAGTACTCCAGAGAGATTAACACCGTTCTAGTAAACTCAGACAAAATACATACACAAACTCTGGCTAATTCCCTTACAGAAGCCCTCACTAGTGAAAGAAGTATACAAACATTTACTGATATACCAAGATGTACAGCTCCTGCCACCAAGACAGTTCTAGTGATTTAAACACAAACAGCTTATCAAACAGGCAACACGTTTATCACTACCTCAACTATACTGGCAACAAGGAATCACGCAATTGAAACCAAGCCTATGACAAGCCAAGCGGGGCTAAATACTGAAACAAGCAAATAATAACTGCACTGTCGGAGGATGCTCTCTGAGGCAAGGCTTGGATACAAAAGCAACAGATGCCCAAGAGAGTAACGCTACCAATGCAACTTGATGCTTACTCTGAGAAGTTTATTTACACTCACTAGGTATGAAACACCACAAAAAGACTGCAGTTAAAACGGGTGGTCATGAAGGGAGAGATTGTGACTTTGGTAATCGTGACTCAAATTATTCAGAAGTTGGAAATACCAATTCTGATTACCCAAAGAGGAGCTTTATAGGAGGGGATTTTCTGCATATCCAAAATAACTTAGTTGTTTTGTTGATAAAGTACTTATAACATCATTCATGCTCCTATTTGAACACCTAATTGGAAGAAAAGCATGCTTTTCTACTGTTCAGGTATCTGTGCACTGGGCTGTCACAAGATACTCATGAATTTGCACTGCCAAGACCTCAGTGAGGAAAGTATGCCAACGGCTGCATAATATTTATGACCGAAACAACCTTAGCAGGAAAAAATGTGATGCTAATATATCCAGCATTAATGTGTAATTTTTCAAAACCAATTTTGAATATACTTAATGCAATCTATTTCAGGAACCTATCTCATTTTCCTTTTAAGTTTCCAAATCCCACCTTACCTAAGGAAGAAGCACCCAGAAGAAACAGAAAGGATCACAGCCTGACAGCTACTAAGACTGACAGCTTTGTTGATTGATGGCAAATTGCTCTTCCAAATTAATTTTAATATTCAGCAATCTGAGCACCAAGAAAACTGCTGCCTGCACTTTGCTAAGCACCACATGAGGTTTTACTATCTCTAATGTTTAAGTATTTATCCAGCTGGGCTCCTGGCCCTTGGTGCCATAGCCCCTGCCTGCACCCGGGGTGGTCTAGCAGGTACTAAGGGATGTAAGTGGCATTTTCAGCAGCCAGAGATGACTCAGAAATCCATCTCCAAGTGTCCAGCAAAAGCAGTTCCACATACTTGCCTTGGAAATGGGACAATCTACATTGCCTGAACCCCCTGGCTCTCCAAACTCACTGCGTGGGTGCAGATTGTCTGCCACCACATGTATGTATAATGTGGCATCAAGGAGGCTTCAGTATGAAATGGGGCAAGATTAAAACAGGCTTGGGATTTTTTTAAGACTCATAAAATGTAATAATGTTTTCTATGAGTAATATGATCGGCAGGGAAGAGAAAAAGGCCCAATGTTATTTTACAGCAGAAACTACCTCTTACAATTTCACAGGTACGGAGTGTCAGTTTTACTTTTGTTTGTTATCCAGACCTACATCATCTTTTAAAGTCTAATGACTAGAAAGGGAGACCAGTGATTGAGTAATACCTGTGAACCAAGGACTGCCCTGATACAGGGACTTTGGACATCTGTGAGATGATGTGAAACCTCACTTTCAATGAGCAACTCGAATTAGACAAAGCCTATGCCAAACAAGCTATCCACATCTGCTTTGTGGGACAGGCAACTGTTTCTTTGCCATGAAAGTTTTTGCAGTTAAAACAAGGATAAAGTAACTGCCACACTAAACAATGTCAGAAAATGACATTATTACCAAAGAAAATTCCAAAGACAATTGTAAATAAGTTCTCAAATAAAAACTGATTGAATATTATGTTAGGGAAGTAAGATTTGATCCTTCCCATGCAACTGTTCAGACAAATGTTCAACGCTGTGAGTTACTGACAAATACCGTGCTTTTTATTAATTGCCTTAAATCATACCAAATGAAACACGTCCAAAAACATTCAAACCCCTCAAACTAGGCTTATGCTTTTTGAGACGTATTTCTCCAAGTGGAAGCAGTATTTCACAGAAGCTCACCACACAGTGTTTACTATCAAGCGTAAAAGCCATAAACAGTGAGTAACTACACAAACTTTAGTGTCACACGATAATTAACAGCAAAGATGCAAACAAACAGATGTATGAATCATGATAGCAGCTCAGTAAAACTGCCAAAAATAAATATCAACCCACCCACAGAAGAATAAAAACAGCGTGCTCAACAGCAGATTTTTTCTGCTGTCAGTAGTATTTCCTCGCCAGATCTTTTTGAAGCAGCTGTTAATTTGTATTGTTCAAATTATTCCAGAGACCTTTCTCAAACAGCTACTAGGGTGGGTTTTTTTTCATTAATCCCTCCATAAAGCACCAGAAGCAGCATAAATGTTAACCAAGGGGAAACACAACCCGAAAAGGTCCTCTTTAGAACTCAGCTTTCATTGTAGATGTTGACAGTGCAAGTATTTTGCAGTGAATACGCAATGTGCATTCCTCAGTGGCTTTAATTGCCGAGTTGTTTTAAGGCTTCCATGGCGTTTTGTTCATTCAATCCTTTCGTTGACTATCTTCAGCTTTTCCCTTTTTTTCTTCCTTTTTTTAAGTGCCACTCATCTGCTTTTCATTATAAAATAAAGTATGACTTCACCTCCTCAAAAACTTAATTTAAGATCAAAACAGTTTTGAGGGGAGGAAGGAAAAGAAGCATTTGAACTATCACATCCAGTCCTTGGAGCCTTGTTTTCTGGGACATCTGCATAGTTTTGATAAAGCTGCTGGAAAAAGCTGGGGAATTCTGCCTTATTGAAGCCTGCAAAGTAATGACTGTCATCTTTGCAGGCACAGGGATCACCAACACTGCATCTTCACTAGCAGTTTTTAATAAAATCGGATGAATGCAATGTTACAAAACACAATTAAACATTGTTGCCCCACCCCAACCCCCCAACCCCAAATGTGCCAAAATTATGTACATTTTGCATTGTACAATAAAGTTTCAATCATTTTTTTTGACCCCTTCCATGTTAGGTTACAATGTGGGAAATCAAACTAACCAATATCTGTGGGCAGTGAAAACTGAAACTCTGGACAAACTAAAGTTACTGTTTCCTTTCAAATACTGAATATACTGGTAGCAGGTCAAAAATAAACAGTGGAAAAAAAAAACCAAACCAGCACATTTTAACATATATTGTTAGCATTTGTATTTAAAAAGGATGCACCTTAAAGTTACAACATTACACCAGTTTTAAGTGGGTTTCAGGTGTCTCAATGATAATAAATAAAAGAGGAATGTTACAGTAACTTATGGACTAAAACATTCCTCCCTTTTCAGGTAGTGAATATGCAAACTTCAAGCTAACTTAATTACAAAGTAGAAGACACCAGCAGTTTTAAAACTGAATTTCAAAACTACTGTTATGCTGGGCTCTTTCCAACTCAAAATCATACAGGTTGCCCTGTTTCATAACTGAGATGAGATGCAAAGCAGACCAAACAGATTACATATACACAACATTAGAAAACTTTCTATTTCCATCAAGTATAATTATTCTAGAAAAAATATTTTTCTTCCCAACCCAAGAGCCATGTTTTTTCCTGAAAGCAAACATCTCAAATTGATGCTTTTAACAAAGCACATCATACAAACTATAGCAAATACATGGATGAATTTAAAATGCATATTTTTTTCTTACTCAAATGTCCAGTATCCAGCAACCAGACAGTTAGACAATGCTTGGCGAGCCACTCATATGTCTCAGGTGGCCCATAATCAGGTCAATGTTCAGCTTTAAGGACATGTTCTTTATTGATCAATCCAAGTATTTTATTCCCTGTATTTTCCAGTTTCACTTACAGAAGAGACTTAGGCTACCATATAAAGCTTTTATTAATAATAGCAGCCCAATTCCCACCTTGTAAAAGTAATGAAAAATTTCGTATTTAATTTAAAGGATGATGCTTTAATTGGGCCTGTGACATTATAAAACAGATTCACCCCAATAAGAAAATGATGCTTTAGATGTCGTGTATGTCTCCTTCTGCACTTCTGCAGAAAACAACTTTAATACATTTCAAGTTGAGCTTCAAGGATCTGTACTCACACTATACAGAGCCCATCAGTAACACAGCCAAGTCTGCCTCCTCTTAATCTGTCTTATGAAAGTCAGGGTAAATACAAATATTTAATTACAGAAACAGTGGTACGTATTTACCCTGTGAACTTGTATTTGTGTAGAATCGGGAAAACTCCACAGAGGTCACTCTAGGATGAGAAGTGAGGAGAAGTGCCTCTAGATTTTACTGCAGTCTCTGCCACTCACTAATCTGCCATAGGGCCTTGGCCAAGTCATCTCACCATAACCCTTCTCACTCTGTCCATTTTGTTTATCTAAAGCACAGTCTTTCTTCAAGGAGGTATTATTCCCTGCTACTTGTGCAAATGCCTTCGGCTACTGGGCTCTAACTGTACTTAAAAGCATCCAGGCATTACTGTAAGATATATACTGAGAAATAACCAATTTTACAGAAAACTTACTATACTAATAGTACATATTTCAACTTGTTTATAAGAAAAACTCGCAGTGAGACTGGAGGGAGTTGTATTTGCACACACTGTAAACCAATAGGGGAAAGAAAAAGCTGGGGAGACTTCCTCCTACATCTTCATTAAAAATATTTATGGGTGCAAGTCACATAGTGTTACTTTTATATAAAAGTGCTGCAAGCTTGCATGCCTAATGCTCAATTTCACACTGGATGAAACCAACATGATGTATATAGCCATTCATACATGCACAGATATGGCAAATGTCAAATACAAAACCTGCACAACATACAGCACTACTGTGACGTTGTGAGAACTGTGCCAACTCCTAATATATATCTTATTCTCCCCAAACTTGGATGCTTAGGAAGATTTGTCTTACACAGAAGAGCCTGTTACCTTCTTTCCACTCCAACCCTTTCTTACACAAGTGCAGCAGCTCAACAGCTACAAGCCCCCAATTATTTACCAGGAAAAAGAAACAAACCCCACATTTCCCTAGCCTGGAAAGCAGCTCCCTTAACTTCATTTTCGTTCTGATCAGAATATGCACACACTGAATATGTCTTTGCCAACAGTCTTCGACTGCATTTCCCATGGAGAAAAGGGATCACTGAGGAAGGTCCAGGAGGTCCCTCCTGTGGACTGAGCACTCTACCCCAGAGCAGTGCCTTCCACCCTCTTCTGCTCAGCATTTCTGCTGTCACCTGTGAGACTCATTTCTACACCATCAGCAGCCTCTCTATCTTCTAGTGCTGCTGCTCTTCATCCCTAGCAAACACAGGCTCCCTGCCTCTGCTAGTGCCAGCATCTCTGAGGTTAAGTTCCTAGTAAACTGTGTGCTGAATTCTGTGACAAATTCATGTGGGAGAAGATGATCAACACTACGGGATGCTTTGTGCCATTACATATTTTGTGCACTCCAACTGGTGCAGCTCTGTGTATATTTATACAAGATCCACATACAGCCACTACGTGAATGGACACGGACATTCCCTTTGGAGATAGTGTTTGCTTTTTGGCACTCTTTTGCACTCAACACACAGAGACCCAAAACAAATGGAAGAGAAGTTGCAACCCATAGTAACAAAAAGTTTGAAGTTACACTCTGAACCTCTAGAGTTTCTTGCAAACCACTGATGTTACCAGCCAAGCAGTGTCTTTTTGGAGCACCTGCCAGGTGTTCAGGAATAAAAATAACATATTCTCCCATCCCGCGCCATCCTTCCTCCTTTATCCCACAGGAGAAGCCACTTGATTAGTTTACAAGGAGCTTCCCCTCTGTCTACTTGCTTCTGTTTTGAGATCTGAACGCAAGCTGTGTGCCAGATAATTACTGAAGTGAAATGGCAAAGGTTGGTTTTCCACTTTAATCTGCACACAGAGCAGTGTTCAGAGCTGTGGCTGTGCCTAGACCCTGGCTGGAGTAAAAGGCTCTGGGATATCCCCAGCCACAAGTCCTGTTCCACCCATCACTAGAGTGTCAGTGGGGCATGCACCCTGGGCTTCCTACAGAAGAGGGCCGGCAAGGACACCCTAGCAGAGCACCAGCAGTACAAGCTGTCACCATGCGGACCACACCCTTTGGGGAAACACTCCTCAGGAGAAGGCTTTTGCCCTCACAAAGATCATCTGGAGATACACCAGGAAGAGAACTGACCAGGGAAGAAAAAAAGCAATTCATGCAAACATACTCCTGACAGACAGCTTCATTTAACAGCAAGCCTTAGCAACAATAAAAAATGGGGGTGCAAAGGGGAGTAGGCACTGGGAAAGCTGCCACCTACGCCACACAGCCACCAGTTTCAAGTACAGCAGCTGCTCTTTTAACTTGCTCACACCAATGTAATATTGCAACGTCCATGTATGCACCAAAGCTGAAGCACAGTTGCCTCCACATTTGGCAACAGCCAAGAAATTGAAATGTATGTGGCTTCTTCAATTTGCCCTCACATGACAGCATTGCACCATGACTTCAGCACACAGCTAAAGCTCCTTGCATCACCAGGCAGGACTATAGAGCTGTACTGTGATGCTTCCTCATGTACATTAGCATTTAGTTTGGTATTTCACTTAAGATTTGCTCCTTAACAACAAATTTGTTGTTCACCCTGGAAAACAGAAGGCTCCAGGGAGACCTTACAGCAGCTTTCTAGTACCTAAAGGGGGCATACAAGCAATCTGGAGAGGGGCTTAAAAAGGGCATGTAGTGATAAGACAAAGGGGAACGGATTTAAACTGAAAGAGGGTAGACCTATATTAGATACTAGGAAGAAGTTATTTATTGTGAAGGTACTCAGACACTGGCACAGGTTGCCCAGAGAATCTGTGACTGCCCCATCCCTGAAAGTGTTCAAGGCCAGGCCGGACAGAGCTTGGAGCAACCTGGTCTAGTGCAAGGTGTCCCTGCCCATGGCAGTGGGCTGGAAATAAATGATCTTTAAGGCTCCTTCCAATCCGAACCATCCTGTGATTCTATGATTTGCCATCAGTAAGAGAACAGAGAAAATGAAATGTGCATTTCTCAAAATCAGCTATTTTCAACGCTGCAAGCATTAGTAAGGGATCTGACATCAGCACTGCCAACCTGAACATGTCAGACCCACTGTGCATGCAGGAATTGCCCTGACAGCAGCAGCGCGGCCAAAGCCCAGAGACAGCACACTGGGCCTGCTCTGCACGCCGCATGTACACGCACAGCCGTGCTGTCACAGACCTCTGAGGGCAGCAGCTCTGACCAAGCCCCCCCTTATCTCCAACAAACAGGCAAGTCCACTTCTCCCACCGAGAACAGAACGGCGGGGAAACTGCTCGTGGAGGGAAGCCCAGGGCAGCTCCCCCGAGTACGAGGGCAGGCGCTGGAGGAGCGATCCCGCCGGAGCAGGGCGCAGGTGGACGGCGATGCCCGCCGGCTGCCCGGACTCCGGACACAGGGACAGTGCTACGTGACCGGCGGCGACACAACTTTCCCAAAGCCGGAGGCCGCGCCCCTTCACTCCTCTGCCAAAGCAGCTGGCTACGGTGTCAACAGCGAGGCCGCCGCCGCTCCCTGACCAACCGGCGCCGCCTTCCTCCTCCGAGGCCGGGACAGATCCCAACGGGTGTCTCCGCTCCCCGCCGGGATGTTTCCGCGGCGGGCAGCTGCGGCCGCAGCGCTGCTAACCCAGCGCTCACCGCCGGCACCGGGAGCCGCCCCGCCCGCCGCTGCCTCCGCGGAAGGGCGGGCGGACAGACGGACGCCGAGGACGGGCACCTCCGCTCCGCCCGGCTCGGGCAGGGGGAGGGCGGCGCTGCCCGCGGACCCGCGTTCCCTGCGCTCGGGGTTTATTTTTGCGGCCGTCGGCCGACGGATCCACCGGCACCGCCACTTCCGCGGGGAGCGCAGGGCTGCAGCCGGGCCACCTCCCCCGCCCGACACAGCCCTTCCCCACCGCCTCCCTCCCTCCCTCCCATCAGTCCCCTCCCTCCTTGGGCGGGTGGGCGCCCGCGGCCGGGTACCTTGCAAGCGGAGTAGACGCCCAGCTTTTCCAGCTTCTTAGCCCGCGGCGCGGCGCGCAGCTGCGCCTTCTTCCCGGCGGTGCGCGTCGAGCCGGGCCCCCCGGGGCTCTCTGCTGCGCTGCGGGCCGGCCCCCCTGCGGCCACCCCTCCAGCGGCCGGGGAGCCCTGCTGCGGCCCGCCGCCGGCGCCCGCCGCTCCGGCCCCGGCGCCGCCAGGCTCCGCCATGCCCGCGGCGCGCCGGCAGCCGCCGGTCCGGCCGGCCGGCGCGGTGTTCCCGGCCCTGGACCCTCCCCTTCGCCGCGCCGCCGCCGGCTGCTCCCCGGGGGGGGGAGGGAGAGGGGCGGGATGAGGGACACGCCGCTCCGCGGGCGGCTCCTGCCCCGTCGGGCGGGGGGGGAGGGGGGGCGGCACCCGGTGCTGCTCGCGTCCCTCCGCGGGAGCTGCGCGGTGGCGGGCGGTGCCCCTCGCCCCGCGGAGGAGCGAATGTCGGCGGCACTCGTACGCGGTGGCCGGTGCAGAGCAGCCCCAGGGGGGCTGCGGTCAAAATCGCCCTGGAAAGAGGCGGCACAGGCGGCGCTCCTGAGGCCCGGTGAGCCCGCGGGGCTGCCCAACCTCGGTCCCCCCTTGTAGTGACATTACTTTGTTTGAGTTAACCATTGCAACTCCGCGCTGCGCGCTTTGCAGCCGCCTTTAAATGATGTGTTTTTCCCGCTGCTGGCTTGTAATTCAATATATAACTATCAGTCAGTTTCAAATGCTCTCGCTCAGCTCTTCTCATCATGGTTTTGGGGCTTGTTTGTTTCTTGTTTGTTTTGCTTTGGGGGTTTTATTTGTTCACGGACAGGTGTTAACAGCAGGTCAACTTAAGTTGTCTCAAAGGGATTTTTAATTGAAAGATAAAATTAAGTGATCCCGCCACAGAAACTGCACGCTATGCACAGAAGCAACGTGTTTTGGTTTTGAGGCGGTTACGCTTCGTTGCATGTATGTAAAACCCGTGGTCGAGCTGCGAGAAACCGCAAATGACAATTGTATAGTGCGGCATCCCGGTTTAGGAGGTCGGGATTGAGGCTGGGCGTTTGCCTGGGATCTGCGGCTCTTTGATGTGTAAACCTGGAGTAGCGATATTATTGCGGAAGGAATCACAGTGTGTGGACACCCAGGGCCTTGCCACCTTGCATGGGGAACGCAAAGAAGACTCCAGACTTGTGTGAAGTTACGAGTAGTATTTGGAGTGGGGGAGAGAGGGGGAAAACATTTTCCCTGTGGTCTCCCTCTTCCATCACCTTCTCAGCTCCTGGGGATGTTTTCAAGCATCAGATTATTCATCGAGCTGGTATAAATGGGGGGGGGGGCCCCCCCAATAAACCCTTTAGTATTTTAATGAAAAGGGGATCTGGGCTTGGTAGTATGCGTTTTTTTGGCTGAGGTTTTAAAATCAACAAGGGGGTTGATGGTGGGGGGGAGACGGGGGGAGGTTGGGACCTGCCCCGCGGCGGAGGCCAGGGCTGGCTTCAGGCTTCGCAGCAGCCGTGACAGCGACCCATAAAATGGCTGCTGCCGTCCCCGGGGCTTTAAGACGGACTGTTAAGGTGGAGGGAAGGCTGCCCTCGGCGGCGTCGGCCCCGAGCGTCGCGGAAAATAAAGGGAAACAAACCCTCCAGTTTGTCGTAAATTTCAGAGAGAATTGGGGGGGGGGTTAACTATTTTTTTAGAGTGCCTGAATCGCATTTTCAAATAACAGATTAGCGATGTATGTAACAGCCACTTAAGAAGCTCTTCGCTTGCATTTTTCTTGCCGGTTAGCGTTAGGGGCTTTCTTCTCCGGCTTGAAAAGGAAACTGCTCTTGCTTAGCTTCACTTTCAGCTTTCCCACTGCGCTTCCTCGGTAGCAAGTGTTACAAGTGAAGAGTGCATCTGGAGCAACGTATTGCCTCCTGTGGACCTCTTAATATCCGTGCCTGCACCCAGACAGGCAGTTTTTCTGGGAGCTGCAGCCTTTACATCCCCAAATACGGGATTTATTTTTTTTCTTTTTATTTTTTTTATTGAAAGACAGCACCAGCTTCTCCTTTAAACAGCAAACTAATGATAATTAACCCACCATTAAGGCTGCCCACAAATGAATTACCAGCTTCAACTGTGAAAATACAATTGCTGTTTTCACACAGGTGTGTAACTCCCCTCATGTTTTGCTAAGACCACTCTGTGTGCATTTATGCCTGAAGATGCATGCAGGGTGTTCATGGCATTACAGCCTAGGCAAACAACCTTATTCTTTCACCTTATTCTTCAGGGTCCTTAAAAGTCTGAGAAGCGTTTGCTTCCATGTAAGTAAAATCAAAGAGAAGTTGTCATAAAGTAGATACTTTGGTTAAATGCCCGAATATTTGTTTACATTTCATGGTGTGTTAGTGAGGGTCTACTGGGAAAAACTATAAGACACCAGTATACGTATTAAAAATACTTTTACTGCAGTCCTTTATTGAATCCTCAAGAGCAAAGCTGTCCTGCAATACTGTATCTCTTTTTCATCCCCTTTTTACCTTGCTGCTCACTAGATAACCAGAACAGTAAGTACCAGCCTGTGGCTAGGGATACAGTTACTATAGTAACATTTATAAACATGGCATTCACTACACATGCAGAACTACTGCTTACTGGGAGTGGCTTAGAAAGAGAGCACTCTTTAGCTGCAAATAGGTAAGTCTTTGTCTTTTTTAAGTCTTATTTAAATCATCAGTCTCATTCTAACTGTGTGCAAATGCATTGTTAGAAAAATAATAAAGAAAAAAGAAAAAAACTTGACTTTGTCTTAAACTGTTCCAGTTTCAGGTAAGATACTACATTCAGTAATAACATAAATGAATAAGAAAGGAAAAGATCAGTTGCCAGCTGGATGGGACTATAACCTGGGCTGTGTTGGCTGGTGGTAGCTTCAGTAAATGTAATTTGGCTGTAACAGGTTACACTAAGTTAGGAAAAAATGAAGAATTTAGTGTTTGATGGCTGAGTGTACAGATGACATTCTCAATTTCATATATCCAGCTTGGCTTTTTCTGTTGACTGAATTTACAAGCAAGTACATGTTAATTTTCTACTTGCAATGTGTGCGTAACTCTGAGCACAAGAGACTCACTCTAGTGCTTATATTAAGCATGCACTATGAAGATGCTGAATTAGACTCAAACTTCATGTGCTGTCTGAAAACCCCTCACCATGTTGCTCAGTTCCCGTCCTTTGGGGCATGTCAGTGGGTTTGCACAGGTGGAACTGACTCTGGAACCAATGGTGGGAGCTGAGTGAGGCAAGCTGCCTACCTCTGTGGCTCTGCTCCCAATCTTAGGTGAGTGCCTGGGTGTCTTCAGGAAAACTGCTCATCTGGATTGAATTAAGCAAGCCTGGAGCGGGATGAAACATGAATGCCAGTCCATGTGATTCTCCTCAGATCGCTGTCATTCTGCTGGTAACCCCAAGGAGGTCCCTGCTCATTGCTCCCAGGAGAAATGCATCTCGTGTTTGCTGCTCTCCCTGAATTCACTGCTAACACTGAACAGGCTTAATTGCAGGAGAGTGTGCGCTATTCCAGCAAAAGAGGTGGCTGCATTTGATGTCACAAAAGAGGAAATTAAAATGCAGTTTAGGGCGTGCCTGACGCTTGGTTATTGCTTAGTTGTCATTTAGGGCTTTTGGGGCCTATCTTGGTCACATAAAGAATGAATCAACTAATAGCAGCCTTATGCTGAATGTTGAGATGGACCTCCCAGCCCGTGGCTGAGCTCTAGGAGCCTACCTTTTTACCACTCATCCCCATCTCCCAGCCTACTTGGAGGCCTCTGTCCCTCTCTTTTGTTCAAGATGGGACTTTCTTCCTGCTCTCCCACCTGTTTTTATTCCTACCATTCAATGCAAATGTGAAAAGCAGAGCTCTTTTCCCTCTGGGGAATTTCTCAGAGTATAAAATCCTATTGTGTCCTTTCATTAGCACATTCCTTGTGGGTGAAGTGGCCTCCCTCTTGGCCACCACATGTTCAGGATTGCTATCAATATTTTATGAATCACTGGAAGTATGAATAGTACAAAAGTTTTGTTCATTATGCTGTCTCCAGCATCTTGTCAGCTTCCCATGGTGCTTACATGTGACTTTAATAATGCAGATGGCAGGCCTTCCCACCACTAAGCTTTGTCTACTATGGGGAACCTCGCAGAAGAGGTTTTTTAACTCCTAAAAGTTGGGTAATTTTTAAAGGAAAACATGCAGGAAAAATAATGGAGAAAATGTCATTGCAATGCTCATGGCTGTTTTCGTAACACAGACTTCTTGTTAGTGATGGAGCACTTGGCAGTTTTTATTCACTTCTTACCCAGAGGATGCTCTTCCTGACAGTAGTCAGAGTTGTGATTTAACACAAACCAAGTGAGAAAACTAAAGGCTGGGCTCATGCAGCATAGGGAATTTACTGCCTTTGCCAGTACAATGTGAACTGCGTATGCCAAGTTCAGAAGCTGCTTGTTCAAGTTCTTTAGCCATCTGAAATCACTATGTAGGCATATACTGTGTTATTTTGTGGTAGTGAGAGCTCTAGATTGCTTCATGCGAGCATGGGATGTACTACCTATTTTGCCCTTACTTTTTCTCTCTTCTGCCTCCCCACATTATTTCTCTAACACCCTTTTCTCTGTTTCCTGTTACTTAACACATGGCAGAGATCCCTACAATTCTGTGGGACCCCATTAGTGTACTTTGGGGGTTTTGCCAGACACCCCATGCCAGTGTAGGGCAGGTTGGTTGGTGCTGGCAGCCTCATAGACCCCTGGGTGACTGGCACAGGTTCAGCTGGCAGGAGTGGGAGGGAAGGGATGTCTTCCTTTCTGCTACCTGCACCCAAATAGCTGCTGATAGGGCACCCTTGGTGTGACACTGGTTTAGGCAATAAAACTCTGCATAGGAAATACCTTATATTTCTGTAAGATGAAGTTAAACTGGCCTAAGCACAGCTCACTGTGCAAGCTAATCCTGGGCCCTCCCCATACCTGTGTGGGGAGCACCTGGGAGTCTTAAGAACTAGGGACGCAACTGCATGCAAGACTACTAACCACGTGGCTAAGCTGCAAGGACTGAACAGGTTAAAACCCTTCATTTAGGCCAACTATAATTGTGGTGAGTGTGACTGGAAACAGCAGAGGAACTTCAGGAGCACAGCAGCAACCCCAGATGTGGGCTTGTGGGGTTAGGGTGTCTCTGGGAGGAGAGTGCAGGAGGCACAGTTACATTATCTTTACCCATCTTCCATCTTCTGCCACAGCTTTCTCTTTGTGGATCCCAAAACCTCATGTATCACCTCTCCTATGCCAAGCCCAGCAGGCTCAGTGCTTCACAGCCTGTCTGCCCTATGTGTGGGCTCAGTGGGTTATGAACTGGCACCTCTGGCCCACCAAGACAGACCCATCTACTGGGAAGAGCTGCAAAATATCTGGAGTGCCAAATGGGTTAGCTATTGCTTTGCTACTCCTATTTCCCATTTCAATGCATCCTCCCATCTGAGGAGCTGTGCCTTTGCCAGGCAGACAGTGCCACAGATTATAACTCTCATCTAAGAAGACCTAACGATGGGGAATGCTTCCACTTCATAGAATGACACAAGACCGGTGGGCCTGGAATATCAAGATTCCAGTTTTGGACAACGCTTAGGAAGATAAATAAGGATACTAATTATCCTAATTTATTCCACAATTATTTTAATTATTAATTGCTTCCTTCTTTCTTGCCCATTACCAGGTCTTAGAGGTGGGAGTGTTCCCAAGTCCTGAAGGCAGGCTCTGCCCCCAGCACGCTCCTGTGACTCACCAGGTTCATCTTTATCTCTTCCCACACCTTTCATAACAAGACTTCCTTGAAGCTGCGGCAGTGCTTCTGGGGGTACAGTAAGTAGGCTACTACGCACACCTAAGTTGACTCACCTGGGAGATGTCTTGTTCCTTCTGCATCATTCCTTCTGCAGCTGGTTTTGGAGGATGAGAGGGCCAGCTCTGCTAAACTGGTGGAAGGTGCAGGGCATGGCTGCTGGGCTAGCAAATGAATTTGGGTTTTCAGGTCAAGAGTTTTTCAGAGATCTTATGAGCTTAAGGAAGGCTGTGTAAGGGGTTTCACATATTAGCTGTTTGCTGCTCTGGCCAAAGGTGACCATGTAAAACAGGGCATACTGCAGGGCACTGTCAAGCTGCACCACTGCAAATGGTGCCTGCTTGGCAGGGGCTGGTGGCATCAGGCACAGTGCAGCTCAGGGAAGCAGTCCCAGCTATGCTAAGAGTCACTGCCATGGTTCCTGTAAGCAGCTGTGATGCATTCTCGAGCAGTTTTGCAGAGGAGGTGCTGCTAACTGTGTGAGAGAGGAAGGAGATCAGAAGAGAAGCAGGGCTGAACACATGGAGACGATGAAGCTGTATTGTGGCATCACAGGCACATGGGAAAGGGGAGAACCTAGAGGGAAGTGCTGGCTGAGGCATGAGGTAAAGCAGGGAAGAGGGAAAAGACAAGCAAAGAAGCCAATGTTCACTCAGCAAGAATCTGAGCAGTGAGGGCTGTTCATATGTATTAGCTGATAAAATTGTGATGAGAAGCTCAGGGAGACTGTGACCTCCATTTTACATGGCCCAGCCCTTCTTTGCCTCCTGTCACTGAAGGCAGGCAGGCAGGCATCTTCCCTGTGCTGGTTTCAGCGGTAACAGCCATCGTTTTCTGAGACCACAAGTATGTAGCAAATAATAAGCAATAATAATAGCAGATCTCACAGACGAAGGAGTTCAGAATGAGAGATTGTGTAAGTTAAGTGCTGACTGTGACAACTGTGAGGAAGAAGCACGCTCTGGGTGGAGACAGAAACATGTGTCTGAGATAGATAACTGCATAAGGGCCTCTTCTGTTTGGATACAAATTAGATCCTGCATCCTCAAAGCTCAGTGGCACCTTTGCTAATTAAAAAATGAGATTGTAGTGCCAAACTGCAAAAGGCTTACTGGGGTGATAGTATCCTCTGCCATATGAGCCCATGGTCTGCAGCATCATGCTTTGCCCCTTTTACAGACAGGGCAGTGTACAGCAGAGGCAGAGCAGCCTCCCTTTCCTAGAAGCAGGACTAAGAACTTACCAAGAGGCCCTTTGTTGTGACACAAAGGGTATATATGATGTATCCCCCCTTGAAAACATACGCAGTCTCAAACTGTGGTTCGCTCCCTATTCTTCTACATCTTCTAATTTTTTTTGATCTGCCTCTATTTTCAGCTCAGAACATTAAACACTGTTGGGTTTTGGCTCCCTAAATAGGCACAGAGAAACTGCAGTGAGCTAGAAAGCTGAATTTTGTTCTTTGCTCTCTGAGGCTGAGAGTGCTTTAGCTTCATGTATTGTGTTGTCAGTATCTCGCTGTATCCTCTAACTTGACAGCAAAAAGCTTGCAAGTCTCTTATCTGTTCCTTATAAGGGAAATGCAAGGAGAAAAGGAAATACAGAATAATCCTTCTACTTTTTAAGAAATCAACAAGGGAAATGTTTTACTTACTTCTTTTTCACAATGTTTTCAGCGATTAATATAAGCAGTGTGTACATACTATAAGAAATTAGTATCGGGGCTGCCCTTTTAATAAATGTAAGCAAAATGATTGCAATGAAGAGTTGTAGTGTATCTTGTTCTTCTACATTAATTATTATGTATATTATCCTGATTATTTACACCTTGTAAGTAGGACTGTTTCGGTGCTGTGAAACTGTGATTTGTGAGCACTTGCAGCCACTTAAGAGATATAAACATCTATAATGTATGTGAGTGTAAAGGATAAAATTTACTGAAATCAAACTAATATTTTATTGAAAGTGTTTAATTTCCTGCCTCTAATCCAAGGAGGGTATATATACACAAAATGAAAAATGGGTTAATAGGTAAGAGGCTGACTGAAAAAAAAAACAAATACTTTCCCAGATTTTATGTGCATATTAGTCCTAACTATTCTCAGGCCTGAATGCACCATCACAATGACAGCAGTGAAAACATTCGTGCCACCTCCCATTCTCAAACCCACACTATGCAGAATAAAGAAGGGACCTATGCAAATGTATTTCTGCTGTTTTTTAAATCATGTACCACCTTATCTTGCCCCGTTGAAGTGGTGCAGCATTTCTAGAGGAGACTGATGCTCACCTCTTGCGGAGGTATGGACTTCCCCATAAACTGGTCCTACAGCGGATTTGAGAGCTGCAGCCACCTGCCAGCTCAGCTCAGCAAGGACAAGGCACATTACAGCATCATAAAGGAGTTTTAAGTGGCTCTGCTAATACTACAGTAGGTATCCTCTGCAGAAGAGATTTTCTTCTTAAAAATTTATAATTGATCTATTTCAGCTGACTGGAGGCACCTGGTTCTTTAAGACACATTAATTGGGGCTGGAGGAGGTTGGGGCTTTGTCTTTGGCAGAATTTTGTCAAACAATTATCATCACAGGTAAAAAAAGTGTGTCTTCAAACATAAATCATGGAAATGCTCATAAGCCACAGCTGATGAACAGAAGTGGTGCCAGAGAAGAAAATACGCTCCCCAAATGAAATCCTGTAACAGAAAACAGTTACAAAATAGTTACTTTAAGTATCAAGTTTAAAGGGAGAGCCCCAGAAAAAGGATGAGGTTGAAGCAGGATGAAATTACCAAAGGCTACTCTTGCAATGTGGCTGTGGGATAGTACTGCTGCTAAACCACTGTTGTTTGCTCTGGTGCTGGATTAACAGCAGTTAATCTGAAGTCAGAAATCTCTGAAGACAGAGTATGATAAAAACCTATAATATATGCATTTTGGTCTGATATTTCTCATCCATAGGCACATAAATACTAAACACTGAAATAAACATAGTGAACTTAAATAAAAACAATGTATTTTCATACTCGGTAGAGAGATGTATTGGCTAGCAAGCTGAGCTTCTCATATGGTATCAGGATTTTGTGTCATTATCGTGCCTGTATGTGTGTCATGTGCTGATGATCTGGGGGGAAGAGGATGTTGTGTAAGGTTTACCTGGACATCACATTATAGGACAGAGCAGCCATTCAAACTATCAATCAATTTCATCTGCTGCCTTAGCAACATTGATATTTATAAGGTTGCTTCTCCATTTCAATGTACAAGTAGAATTATCAGTGCTGTCTACAAATAGGAGTGCCTCCCATTTTCAGTAACTTATAACTCTGCAGATATTAACTGCTCACACAGAAATTTTCTGAGCCTGAAGCAGAATAACTTGTAAAAATTCCAGGCAGTATGTTTTAGCTGTTTCTATTATTAGAAAATATGTTGTTTTGTATGTATTAAACCAAAATGCTAATAGCTATTTTATAGAGAATCTCTCCAAGATCAACATGTTTTCAGCTAGGGCTTGGAGATCTCTCTGAGATGGCATCAGTGGTGCACCTTTTATCACTGTAAATGTATCCAGATCAGAGCAAGTGACAATAGTTAAAAAGCAGCATCAGTTTCCCAGTGCTGAGTGGAGACATATCAGCATATAGGTGCTGAATGCAGGCAGCCCCCTCTGCACCGGCTGGCCTGTCAGGGAGTGCCTTGCCAGGACTTGCTCTGTAGTTCTGACTCTTGGGTTTGTAGCACTGGGTGCCAGACCCAAGAATAGTAACACAGCATCGAGGAATTAAACTGAGGAGACTGAGCTGGGGAGAAAAGCGAAACTGGAGCAACCAGCTAAAGCAGGAGGAAGGAGGTGCATGGGAACAGGAAGAGGATACTAGCTAGCTTTGGCTAGAGAAGGGGAAGAGAGGTCTGCACTGAGGAGACACTATGATGGCCTTGATTCCATGTTTTCAACCGCATTGCTCTTCAGTAAGCTCTGCTGTAAAGCATGTCTCCCATTCTGATGGCTGGAAAACACAGAAGGCGCATGCTGCTGCTCACAAGTCTCACAGTTCAAGAAGCAGGGGCGCTTCCCACAGACCTAAAAAGGTCAAACACTTGGCCCATTTGATAATACTTTTGTTCTTCATTATGCCTTCTTGATTGAGAAACTGACACATTCAAAATCCACCCTACATTAAACAAACATGAACATTGAGAAATCTATCTCTTACAAGCAAGCAAAACAATAGAATATTGTCCACACAAATGTAATTTATCTTCTGTGTGCCTAAATACAATGGTATAAAACAGGGTTTTTTCCAACTGACTCCTAAAATGCTCACCACTAAAACCAGTGGCAATCAGAGTGTGATTTAAGAGACAGACCAATGCTTCTGGCCCCATTTCGTATTTTCCATGCAAAATTGGTACTTTTTTTTTTTTTTTTTTTTTTAAATCTTAATCTTGAATATGTTGTTTGGGTTTTTTTTTTTTTCTTTCCTTCTTTTCCCTCCCAGGCAGGGTTTAGACTTTACCATGTCTGGAAAGTGATGAGTAGATACAGAAAAGGTGATGAGGAATTATATTGTATTCACAGTTCTAACAGTGTGAATGCATAGGGGTATGCACTGAATCACAAGGAGGAAACAACTGACTGAAACCTTATTAGGTACAAGAATAATCTAAATTGTTGTGAACTTCATATTTCCAAAATTTTCACTTCTTGAATTTACTGCTGATTTTTAACTTAGTTGTTAGTTACTATTTTTTACAATCTCATGTTTCCCAGTTTCTTGACCACATATGCATTAGTATGCAATGATGTAACTCAGACTTTATAAAAGAGCGAGGAAAAGCTTAGTTAGCATAGTATGAGCTAATAATAAAATATTCAAATGTGAAAATATGAGAACTCTTCACATATTCAACTCCTCTATAGAATGACAAGGGAGTAAAAATCTCAGGACAAAACTAACCCACCCAATTTTGAACTTGTGGAAATGAGGACGATGACCTGGAGGTCACAATTGTATCTGAGAATGATTCCAAGCACATTTAGGTTTCTTGCTCTGCATATGAGCAAACTATACATCCCATACCACCTTCTTTATCATAAAACAACCTACAAAGCCCTAATTTTACTAGGATTTGATAGCCCTTGAAGGCCAACAACAAAAATCTTTTGGCTTAGAGACACGAACTCATTTCAAAATTCACCCAGATTCCTAAATATTGAGACACATTAAGTAGAAGATTATTCATTTGAATTCTTTATAGATAACCACACTCCCACATCATATTGTGATCTTGCTAGTATTACCAATCCTAGTAGTTTTAAGAAAATATGTAATTCTTTAATAAATGCATTATCAATTTGCTAAGATAGAAACTCCACATAACAGGGAGACAAGGAAGACAGGTTTGTTGTGTTTAACAACTATGGAAATAGGTTATATGTTTTGGGGGCTTAGTTGATGGTTTTCATGGTGTGGCAGCTGCAAACAGTTGCAGCAAAGCTTCAACTTTTATCCTCCTATGAAAGGATAAATGGCAAGTTCTAGATTCTTGTGCCACACTGATCAGGGCAGCTTACAGAGAAAGAGATTTTTCTCTGATAACCCAGGCAATGACGAGACCCATACTTACTAATGGATCCAAAAAGCCTATTCCAACCCGTTTTGGGGAATGCATAGGCTTTTACCACTGGGAAGGAATGAGGTTTCCAAAGTTCCCTGTAGTGGCTGTTGAGCAGTTACCTGCTTGGCAGAAGGAATCCCCAGCAAAGAGACAGATGGCACTGAGGAAAAAGAAAGAAGACACTTTGAAAACAACACACAGCCCATCAGCCAGGACAGCCAAAGGTGCTGCGGGGTTACAGCCCATAGCTGAGAGATATGTACGTTCCACACCAGGATTTTTTTGCTCCACCAAATAACAGGAGAAAAGATAAGACAGAGATTTGCTGGCAGTAGATAGCTGGAGATAAAAATGAGCAAATGCTTTAACTTGAGAACATGAAGGAGACATGACAAATTCCCTTGCAACTGATATTGGTATCAGACAATAAGTTTTAAGCTTATTTGATGAGTAGCCTCAGTAAATACTATGAGTTAAGCAGTAAAGTCAATTTACTAACATGAAAGACAGTTATCAGGAATCAAATTATTTTAGATCTGATAAATCTCTTGTGTCTCATGTGTCAATGAAACATGCTTAAAATATGCTTATTCATTTATTTCATGAGACTAAGTGCCACGACATGTTGCTACCAGCAAACTGGAAGCATGATCTGTGGGGATGTTCTCAATTGCCAATTTCTGAAATAGGAATTGGTTATTTAACTGTTCTTAATGAAGATCTATTCAGACCTATTTCCATATGACGTAGAACCCTGCTTTGCCTTTCTACAGTGTGGAAAATCAGTTACTAATTACAATCAGAAACACTGATACTGCTTCTCCACCCAGCCCTGCTGCAGGCAACAGTAGATAAAGCTCTTGCAGTTCCTAGCAACCCTAGTCATTATATCTTCCCATTTGGTGATTTTTATTACCAGCTATCTTGTGTACATTAGGCAGCTGTAAGATTACAAGCAAAATGCTTGCTATTCCATAAAAGAGTATAGAAGCAGAATATTTTTATATTATTCTATGTAACACATTAATATATAAATATATAGTATATACAGTATACATTCATACGTATTTTTATATATATTAAAAGCTGGTGAATAGTTTCAAATGGTTTTGTATTTTAACTGTAGTTACGTTCTGTAGCATCTTCCAGTCTCTGCTGAAACACATGCCCAGCACTGTAATACTTTTCTATCACATTCCCCCAAGCATTATTCTGGAGTGTGCTAATACTGCAGCGGGGCACTCCCTCCTCAGATGAGTGTATTCACAAAACCTGAAAGACTTCTTCATATTTCTTCATATGGATTTGACTGAAATTAAGAGGGTCAAAAATCAGTGGGGAAAGTGAAAACCATTTGAGAAGCTTCATTTTTTTCATGAGGCAAAAAAAAATATCATATTCCATATTTGGAAAAAATGATTTCAGAAGAAAATACGTTTTAATAACAATAACATGCAACCCTCTGCCGGTGTGAGGAACACTAGAAACCAATTTGAACATGCACTGACCCTGAACCACCTAACTGGTTTGTCCCCACTCCCCCTTACTCTCCCTTGTCTCAGTGCTTGTTGCTATGATCATTCTTTTTCTACCTCAACCAACCAATTTTGCAGCTACCTGAACTTCACTGCGGGTACCAAAGCTGGTGGTTTAGCACTAGCTCAGGTACTCTTTCAGGATATGCAGTCACACCTTTAATGGAATATAATATTGTCATAGAAAAAGTGGGAATGTTTTCAGATGCATTTGTTTTCACCTTATTGGGGAAGCAACCTGATTTTATTACAATGAGGTTGAAAGGCAAGATAAAGGTTAAGAAAATTTGGTACAGAATTCACCCAACCAGAGTTTTCTGGTTCTAGTTACCAGCTTCCATGCTTCCCTTCCAGATAAAGTTTTTATGCTGGCTGCAATAAAAGATATCATAAATTCAATCTCTGCTAATGAGTTGAGGCTTGCAGTTGGTAAGAGATACTTTAAACATTTTATGATTAAAGTCCACATTTTTGAACCACTGCTAAATACACATTTATTTAATCTAATACACTTAATTTTCCAACTGTTATTACATCAAAGAAAAATTATACAACATCAAGCTCCATTTTCCCACCCCTCAGGAATGTGTTCTTACAGAAGTATAACCATATTCCTTCAGCACCAGGTAAGCAACTGAAAAGGATGGTCAGACAGGCAGAGCAGGAGATGGTGGCACTGGCCAACTCTGTCTTCTTCATTTAGTCCCACACTGACAGGTCAGCTAAGTTTTGTCAATTCTTTTGCCCTGTCTCTGGTTTTTAGAAAAGAGACTTGCATCCAAAAGCATTTATATTTTACTCTTCCTTGTAGAAATTGTTCCATACGAGTTATATTATGCCTTTTGTTAGGTTTATAGCTGGTGCTCTTACTCCAAGGGTTCGAAGGAAATTTAAGACAATTTTCTAGCTCTCCACAAAAAAAAAAAAAAAAAAAAAAACAACCCACAAAAATAAAACCCAAAGGAAAGAGGGAGTAACCATAAGGAAACATTCACATAGTATAACTTAAGGCATCTACACTCTATAATTACTGAAAAAGGTGTGTTCTCCAGTTTGATATTCTCAATTACCTCCCAGAGAAATCTGCCTTCGCAGACTACATTTAGCAGTCTCCTACATAAGACAATGCCAATACTGCCCAAGAATTATAACTACTGTATAAGCAGTGCCAACTTATAAACACTTTTCAGAGATCTTTGCCCTAGCCTAGCTAGATGGCATTAAAATACAATATAAAAGAACCCACTGAAGCCAGCTTAGTGTCTGGAAATCTGCCATCCCACTCAAGTTCCTCTTGGAAGACATCACTTTTGTCCTTACGCCAACACATGGGAGCAGATCAGTAACCTCCTCTAAAGCAAAAATGATCTCCCAGTATAGCCATAGAGGATCTCAAACAATACAGCACTTTGTTTCAGAGCTGCTTTCCTTTACGCTCTGCACTCAAGTTTGACAAGACTAGTCACCTGCAGCAATACAATTCTCCTGCAGATTTCAACAGTGTTGATGGAAAGGTAAAGTACCTATTCCTACTAAAGGAAAGAAGTCAGTCCTTGGCTTCTTCTGACCATGAGAACTCTTGCTCCCTTGTGTCCCTTAAATGGGGAAAAGGTTTAAGGCATCATGTTAGTAACCTGTAAATTCTACACAATGTCCAAATTATTTTCAGGTACTAAAAATTTTACACTGCTATATACAGCTCTGAATCTAAACCTCTTGATTAGTTCATTCAGCCACAGTATTTGAAAGCACACACATTTTAGAAGGAACTATTTGCAAAGTGAAATTTCTTAGGAAACTGATGACCACAAAAAAAAAAAAAGAAAAAAAAAAAAGACAAGACAACCTGATCCAGAACTGTCTGTTTTCAGTAAGAATCAAGTAAATTCATGGAACAGAGATATAAACCAGCCTGATTCTAGCACACAAAGTGGTTCTGAAGAACTGAAACAGTTTGAGGACAGAGAAGTTCATCTATGTAACAGCTTTCAGCCACAGTCAGGCTGCAGAGCAAGAAACAGACACCAATGCTTTTTGTGCAAGAGGTCAAAGTTGCACCCATAAACAGCTGCAAGAGAGCATACTGGTAACAGGGTCTAAAGACCAGCCCCCCAAGGATACAAAAGCACACCTATCTAATTATGACTCAGGTCCACAACTGGCAGAAAAAATGGACTCCAAGATATTCTGTGACAAACCTGCAAGGCCAAAGCTGCTAATGACGGTATCAGTGGGTTCTAGACCACCACCACCACTCTTTGAAGAGGACACAAACACATACCTGCTTAATTGCGAATCACAAACTGCAGGAAGAGGCACCTCTGAGACACTCTATGACAATGCAGGAAGCTACATTAGTGACCAACTGGTAAAGACTGCAGTAGCTGCAGGTTCAAGATATATTACTATTTTGATGGTAGTTCTAAATGGGTGTGATAAGACACTCAATTATGTCAGCACTTAAAAATTAATCATAGGATAACTGGAGTGCCACAGTATATATAGTACAAGCTTTTATTTATCTGTGTCATGAATTTACTTGCAATCACCTTAAATGCTGACCCACATAGTAAATCAGACACCTCGTCTGGAACTGTGCAAATGCAATAAAACCTTCTCAAATTCTCAGTAAGAAACACTAATTAAAAATCTCCTTTTTTTTTTAAACCACTTTATTCAAACCTGAGCACCTCAATATAAAACTAAACACTGGTGAACTGCCATTTTCCTTGCTAAACCCAGATTACTGCAAATTTAAAATCTGCACAAGTAAGCTTCTGCTATCAGTTCAACATTTAAATAGACTAATTCATCTCTTCTGACACACTTGGTAGATTTCATATAATGAAAATAACTAAAAGAATTAGTGCAATATACTGGACAGATCAAAATAAAATGTACTTTGGAAAACAAAGTTGCAAAGTTCATTACTGACAGACAGCAGTACTTATGTTACAGATACAGGAGCATCATTTATTACTGTTCTAGCCATAAAGGAAGAACTTAGAACCCCCTTTGATTAGAGAGGAAAAAAGTTAGCTTTAAGTAACTGTACATTCTGTATACCTTTAAGCAACTCTTAAATATTACAGAAAGTATTAAACAAATGTAGACTACAATGCAGAGTACCTATTTACAGTACATTAATATCCAAATTTAAAATCAAGTTGGACGTACATAATTGTTAGTGCACTATTTTTTTCCTTAGGGGAAAAACAATATGTAATGGCCAAAACTAAGAAATCAAGGTTTGACCACGGGATCAAAACCAAGAAAAAAGTCACAGACACCAAGTTTGTTGTGGTTTTACTTGAAGAGCTCTTAACAGTTTGTAGAGGAAAAAAAAAATATAAAAAAAATAAATTCCTAAGTCAAAGTTGAATTGACTGGTCTGTACCCTCTGAATAGATTAGAAATGAAGTTAAACTTGATTTATCGCTAACTCCTTTAGATAACTAACTGGACTGATATAATTTACATACAGTGTACCAACTAAAACTCCACTTTCCTGCAAGCATAGGGTTCTTAAAATTGTTAATGCAAGTATTATTTGTAATTAAATTATTAAACTATGGAATGTATAACTGAACAGTGCATTCCTGCAGAAACAACTGTTTGCATGAATACTGTGAATAAGTTTAAGTAATTTTTAAACCCTGTTTCTAAAAAGGTTTTAAAGCACAAATCAGAATTATGAAAAGTCCCAATTCTATTTGTTATAACAGTAATCAGTATTGAGGCTAAAGGAACTGGCCAATCAGGTCCACGGAGAGTAGTTCTTCTACACCCCTAAGATTTTTAAAACCTTTCAACTGAAGGAAGTTTATTCCACTTCCTTCTCTCCTCTACTGCTGAAACGTTACAGCCAGTGGTGGATACATGCATGTTAAAAATTTAGGTCAAAAGAAAACCCTGTATCATGAACTTGACTATTATCATAAGTCTCTTCGCTGTTTGGAAGCTGTACTGGGCCAGGTTAAGCACTCCAATTCCATGGTTATTAACAGTTAGGAAGCAGAAGAATATTCAGAACAGTTTAAAGCAATTGATGTTTTAGTTGCTACAACATTGACTCTTGGGTTGTTGCGTGGGTTCAGTAAGGTCTACTCCTCTTCCTCTGGCAGAATTGGCTCCTGCATTCTGTGGTTCACTCTTGGGCAGTTTTTTTGCTATGAAATCAACAAAACAAGGAGAGTTAAAACTGGATTAAGTCACCTGAGTACACAGTCAACACTTTATAAGCGTATCAATATAATCACTATGAAATCTCGTTTGATTCACTGTATTGGTAAGGATAGATGACACCTTAATGATTAATTACCTTATATATGATTTTCAAGTGAAATGCATTAGTAACTTGAGCAGTAAAGTGTATCTGTTCAGGTATGCTATGCCAGTGAATGATGGGTCTTGTGGGAATCCACCTACACAATCTTTAAGATCAGGACACCAGTGCTAAAAGATACAAGACTGAAAATGCACAAAATGCAGACAAACAGAAATGGGTCAAGCTACTGCCCAACTCTCTAGCCAGAATAAATCTTCACATTTAAAATGGCCCTCAGCACTAGATGAAGCCTCTGCCTTTTTCAAGCTGTCTTTCTTTTTTTCAGCTTATGAATCAATTGACTGATAATTTCTTTGTTGCCCTTGTAGCTCCAGGGTACCCCCCTCAGTCCTGACATGAAATATAGGGTGACAAACGTTACCCTTCTGAGCAGCAGCTCTTCCTAGCTTTCTCTCCACCAGGAAATTTCTAAGTTCCACATAAAGGACTTCCATGGGGCTGTCTCATCCATGCTACTAAGACCCAACAACCACCCCTGATCTACAGCCTGGCTGCATGCTTCAACTCCAAATTTCTTTGGCCAGCTTGTTAAAGAACGCCTTTTCCTAAAAGGAATAAAACTCAAGTGTAACAGCCAGATAACCAGCACAGTACACATTTACAGCTGTTCTACAATTTTGTGATAGAACCCAAGAGTTCAAGTGATACTAAGCTGCTGACAGAAAAGGACAAAGCACCAGTAGAAAAATGCCATCATAGCACTGTCTTTTTTGATTCTAGAACTGTAAATTAAGATGAATTAAGTTATGAATGAGTTCTAAAGAGGTCTATTTACAAGCAGCTGTAGCTTGTATCCCTCCATTCTGTCCATGTTCTTTTTCATTTTGCTCCCATTTTTGAAGATCATATTTACACACGGTCCTGAGAACTGCATCCATGTTGTTCAAAAGGCAATTCCAAGTTTCATGCAGTACTTATATCCTCAGTAAGATTTTCTTTTGGGGTCTACTACTGCACAGATCTTGTTCTGATGCACTAACAATCTGAATTTCACCCACTGATGTGAAAGAATACTCACATGGACAATTAACCTTGCAGACAAAAGGCCCAGTTACTAATTAGGTATTGCTTTCCCAAATTTACTTTGCATACTTCATTAAAATATGGGGAGGTAAGAATTACTGCTGATACAACAAATAAAAAAAATACCAGATTGTAGGGATTAATTTTACTGTGTTTTTTTTTTTTTTTAAAACAAACCAAGATGCAAAGTGCACCCTTAAAGAACTTAATTTTAAAATTCCACTAGAACAACGTAATTGAGCAGGCCTATCTTGAGCCCTTGTGAGAAAAATACTTTCCACTCACACAGTTATGTGTTCTCCCCCCCAGTATTCATAGTTAATATGAAGCAAGTACTTGTTATAAAGTGTTGCTATAGCAGTAATTTAATTTGTATCTGCTGGAAGTTTGAAACACACCACAAATTATCTTCTGCTTTACTGCCCTGGAAAGTAGAAGATAGGTGCTCTTTAAAAACATTTAATTTTGAGATCAATGCTGTTTTTCAGAAAAAGAAGTAGAATAGAAAGGTCACAGCAGTGCAAAATACGGATTTAATAAGGTTATTTAACACTACATATTGCTATTCCCCAGTAGCAGAGCCACTACTGTGATTAAGAATATTATTAAATAGGTTGGTGAGAAGCCTAAAAATGTATGATTTCTTTTTCCTCTACTTACAAAATTTTATTAGCAGTAAATTCCAATTTCATGTCTTTCAATGGAATACACATAATTTCTTGATAATTTATACTTCGTATGACATGCTAGCATATTTACAGAAAGCCCTAAGATTATGTTAGGGCTAAAAGTATAGTAGTAAATTTAATTTTCATATGGAGTGTCCTTTACTTGGACATTGAATTTAAGCACACATTATCATCTTTGGTGCAACTTCTGGATTTCAGCTAGCTGCATTTGGAATTCAAACAAAATTTTAACACAAAAGTGTATTTTGCAAATATTTTGTTTAGACCAAAATTTTAACACAAAAGTGTATTTTGCAAATATTTTGTTTAGACCAAAATGAGTACCTTTTTTTTTTTTATAAAGCAAGTCCATTATCATTCTCTCATTTTGAAATGTTTCCAGCTTCAATTACCACTGTCTCATAAAAGATACATTATCCTAGGTTCTGTACCTATCCCAGGCCATGTGGAATCTGCTGCAAACAGTGTATCATCAAAAGGCGCACATTTATACACTTTCACTTACATTCTTACATTAATTTGATTAACAAATGCCCAGTACATCTAACAATTACGAAAACCGTAAATAGCTTTACACAGCTTACCTATACCATGGGAAAGGTAGCTTTTGTACACAACAACTAAAGCTTGACTTCGCTTTGAACTTGAAGCAGTACAAGTTTTCATAATGAAATCAAAATAGGTATATAGAACTTGCTGACAGAATTCAGAAGCAACCTATCTTAGCCAATCCAAGTGGTTTTGTGCTTCGCAAAAAGAGCTGTGCAACTGTAGTTCAACTAAGTTGAAGATGTTCACACTTCTAAACATCAAAAAGGATATGAAAGGGCCTATGGAAACTTCATTGCCAGAAGTAATTCGGGTGAAAAACAAAGACCTTGGGTTAGGAATATTGTGATGGTATAAAAAGCATGAAAACAATTCCCTTTAATTCACAGATTGTTCATAAACTCACCAATTGCCATGAATATTTCATTTACGTTCATAGATGTTTTGGCAGATGTCTCCATGAACAATAAGCTGTTGTCATCTGCATAAGCCTGTGCTTCCTGAAAAGTGCGAATAAGAATGCCTTACTTCATTAAGAAGAAAATAATCACACAGTCATTACACATTGTACTTTTATTGCTACTAAGGAACAATTTCTATACCATTTTGAAAGAAAGTTTGTTGAAACACTTGTGTGGCAATGCATTATTCATCAGTTACGAAAGTTACAATTCCATCAAGCAGCTCAACATTTAGAAATCCAATCTCAAAAATCCTTACTCATCTTAAAAATATCAAGATGGAAAAATCTCAGGCAAAATTAAATAATAAAAACATATTTATTAAAAAGACAATCCTGATGCAGAATACTAGCTGTTATAGCAAGAGCAAATAAACTCTGGAAAGTGCCATCAA